ACAGGGCTCATGCTGTCCTGTCTGCGGCACTGCAACATATTATATACACATTCCCCCATTGTTTGAATGCAGGCGATGGTAGCAGCACACGACGCAGCACCTTTGAGCAGAGGGTAATCTCCACTCTGGAAGCTCTTAGAGAGAGCATGAACCAGCTCCAGCGGAACCCTTCCATCACCCAGACTGAGGTCTGGCACCTTACCTTGTGGTTCCATAGACTTCCTATAATAATGTATATACAGTACTGGGCTATAATATAATTGAAAAAACTGTGTGAATTCTGGTAATATGAACCCTTTATGGTCCCCTGGAGTTCATATATAGTATCATCTTGATAATAATATTATTATTCCACTGTATATATATGTACTTTAACAAGTTAATGTCTCAGTGAACAGAGTGTTTATGAGTGTGGTTTATAGAAATATGCAAACTTTGGTTGATAGAGGGCATAACAACATATGACGGCCACTATGTATTACGTAATAATGCCCCCCCCCCTCCCTCCCTTCTCTATTTCACCTCTTTCTCGCTGTCTCAATTTTGCCAGACTGGACACTTGCCCCAGAAATTTTGCCGCTTTTCTTCTTCACAGATTTGATCTTGGTTTCAATTTCACTTTCTCTCACTCCTATCCCTACCTCTATTTCACCTCTATTTCACCTCTACCTCGTGGGGCTCCTTTCACCTCTTCTCCCCACACTTCCATGGTTTATAATTTCCAACAACACTCATAATTATTATTAACATAACTTATACCCCCACACCGTGTAAAAATTGTGGAGCAGTTACTGATTATATATATTATACACTTGCATGTAGTATATAGCAATCCACTTGCTATTATGCACCCACTCCCCACTTATAATGTCCTCAAATATGTGTGTTCCAACAATAGATCACCGAGCAGACCCAACTCCAGCAGCAGTTGATGCAGAACCTGGTCACCTACAGCCAGATCGATCCTCAGCTGGTCAACAAACTCATCTCTCTTCTCACGTCTGACAGGGAGGGACTTGAGAGTGTGAGTATATAAAATATAGATCAAGTTTCCAGTCGTTTGATATGTAGTATGCACTTGTGCTTTGGCTGATTCATGCATGCCTTCCCATCCATAGTAATCATGCGTTCGGTTGTAAAATCACACCGAGTTTAAGGATCTTCCTACCACGTTTGTTCTTTTCTTTCACGTTAGCAAATGCAAGGTGATGTGTTATTATGCAATTGGTGTGTGCAATTTGGGTGGTGCCCTATTATATGAGAGGGTCTAGGTGAATAGAATGAGAAACTCTGCTAATACGTAGATGGGGAAGAATAAACACCACCCTCTCTCTCTCTCTCTCTCTCTTTGTGTGTGTGTCTCCAGTCTTCCACAGACCAGCTGGAGCAGCTGCAGCAGAAGATCCTGGGAGCCCACGAGAAGACGTACCAAGAGACGCAGGAACACTTCCGCAACCAGGAGGCCCTCCAGAGAGCCTTACAACACACTCTAGAAGAACAGGCTCAACAGCAACAGAAGGTATATATACACACACACATGCACAATGCGAAGAGCTCCAGCAGTCTTTGTTACCGGGCCAGTAATGTAGGCTGGTTCATAGTAAGAAACTATCAATTGGAATTTCACCTAAGAAATGGAAAATCTTGTGAAGTTAGCTTTCTACTTTAGTTTCCGAATGATATTCATGGTTGCACTATGTCAGCCCTTACTCATTCCCACATTGCCAGCGGTTTTAATGCAGACTGTGTTTTTTGTTGTGCATTAGGGTCTGGAAGCCAATTTCCAGATGTTTTCAAAAATGATGCAAGAGCAGCTCAGTGAACAGCAGAAGAAATTCGAAGAAGAGTTCAACCGACGAAAAAAGGTATGAAGAATAATTTTCAACCTCCATTGGGGATTCTGATACCTTCTCTGAATTTCTCAGATGAAAGAAGAAGAGGAAGAGGAGGAAGAAGAGCCGAGGGAAAAGAGGAAAAAGAAGAAGAACAAGGAGCGCTCGAAGAAGAAGGACAAGAAAAGGAAGCACAGGAGACACTCGGACAGCGAGAGTGACAGCAGTCATTCGGAGGACGAAGGAACGATGATGATGTCTGGACACGCTGCTGATATGCCGGCTGTAAGTAAACCTACTGTAGTTTCAGCTTACACTATGTTGATCCTACTGAAAGTCTATAAGTTTTTCGCTGATCAGCTATACCTTAACAACCCATGAAGCTGCTATCTTTCTCGATGTGTACAAATAATCTTCTGGGATGTGTTTACTTGAGCCTTCTATTGAAGGATTGAAAATTGATATATATACATTATCTTTGGTACAGGTAAAAACGATGGAGGCAAAGATATACACGCAGGAACTCCTGCAAGATACCACCACTCAACCAAAACTGGGTAACACACATCCATCCACTCAGGATTAGGTACAAGACATTACGTCATCGTTACATCATTGCAGCAAAGGGAAGGCAAAGAAGAACGTCTGACGTTGAGTTCCTTCGAACCACTGAAGCTGTCAGCAAAAATTTTCCGATTGCTGATAGCGAGCCTGTTGATGATGAAGACGATGAAGGTACTTTGACAAGTTACTGTCTGTAAGTGAAGTGAGATGTGCCGTTCTTTGGTTAATTGCAGAGATGTACTTTCAGCACGCTCGTCCGGTCACGATCCGCCGGGCAGACATCAAGGTTCAAAGACAAGATGTAAGCTTATCGTGTGTCAGTGTGTGGGCTAATCGTACAGATGTACGAACACACACCACACATGGTGCGACACCACTATCATCACAAATCCCTTGATACTACATATAGACCTCGAGAGTTTTGTCACTATGCATCCTAAACCTGTGTACAGATCATTATGCCACCCAGACTGTAGTAGTTATATTACAGAGTTGAAATGACTGATCTGACGTAGAATCAGATGAGTGGTAAAGAGCACACTGACCCTTTCTTGCTAAGTCTGTAGAGTTTGCTCTTAAATTGCTTCTCTATAATCAGCCTTCCCTCTGCTCTATCGAGTCCGAGCTCTGCTCCGGGAGCTGGGAATGAATCAACGCTCGTGCAGCAATCGACCGCGTCGGTGTCTCGCACCTACACGCGCTGCTCTCGCTACTCGATACGCTCGTCTGAGGACTGACTCGCGTGCGTATTAGCAGCCCGATCGCACCTCGCGTGTCTCTCACCTCCCCCCTTTCTCTCTCTCTCTTTTACTCTCTTTCTTCTTACTCCCTCCCTCTATTCTTCCTCCCCTCTCCTGCTCTCAATAGGAATACACTCCCAGAAGACCCAGCAATGACAGTGTAGAGTACCTACTTCACCAGGGGCAACTGCAGGTTGCTGGAGCTACTAGGCCACCTCCAACAAGTATAAACACACAGTTACTTTACACACTGGTGTATTATTGGCATGGTTTCACTATAGGTGAAGGCCATTTTGAAGATTTCCACATCTTGAAGACCAGACCTCCAAAACAGCTAAGTGAACCAGGTGAGATTCGTGTACCGAGGTTTATTGGATGAGTTCTATATACACTCTGTAACGGTTTATCATTTCTCTTTTGAACACACAGTAAAGCCACCAGACTTTGACGAGAAAGACCTTCGATATGGGGTATATATGCAATCACACAATAGAGAGTCAAGAAACTTAAAGCTTCCCCTCCCCCTCTTCCCCCTCCCTCCCCTGCTAAAGCAACATGTAGAACTGAACGAGAGAGATAAACCGATGAAGGAGCTGAACCCACTCTCTGGTGCAGGTGGAGAACTGGCCGCTGCCCTGAGACTACGACAGAAGCAACTGAAGAACAGAGAGCACTAGCGACCGCACAACAAAACCTTTTTAACCCATTTCACACCACACAACAAAACCTTTTAACCCATTTCACACCATACAACACCATGGTCACCGATTGGTATAATAATTATACTTGTGCAATCCCTTGCACACAAGCTTTCTTTTAACTCCACACACATGCCTTGTTTTATATCTCGTTGTTGGTTTGTGCAAACAAGTCTCAAAAATAGGGTTTGCACACAGACAAGAGTATTCTTAGTATGAAATTGTGTTGTTTTATGTTACAGCAGCTACCCATTTTTATGTGTTTTACATTTCAAAAAACACTCAAAATACACGTGTAAAAGTAAAAACGACTCAAAATTAATGGGAGTGATCAAGAGAAAAGTGTTATAAACAAACAAAATTGTTAACTAAAAATATTTACCAAGTGATAAGGCGGGCAATGGGAAGACAATTACTACAACAGCAAAATAATTATTGTCCGTTTTCATTCCAAAAAACAATCCGAGAAATGATAATTTAATGAAAGGTGAGGAGGATTCACAAGTGATTTTTGCCTAAATTGGCTAGAGTACAGTTAGAGAAACAAGTTTAGTGATACATATGGGACATCTGTTAGTATGTTAGTTAGCTTGAATAGGTTGTGGCATATTATTAAGTGATAGAAGTAGCTATAAGTGATAGAGTCAATATTACGTTCCTCTAGCTGCTTGCTCCCTGCACACTCCGCTTACTGGCAAGATAGCCTGGAGAAAAAGAAGAAAAATGTTAGTGGAGCAACTGTGAAAAAGAACTATTACGATTACTTCAGAAAAAAGATATGGCTACAGTCTTACAACTAGTGCAATAATTGATAAAAGTTAAGAACCTGGGACGATTAAATATTGCTCTTATTCAAGGCGTCCTTTATTCATTAATCATAAGGCAAAATAATACACCAAAGTTAAGTATTACTTAGCACATCATTTGGAGATACCATTATAAGAGGAAGACTTGAAGGTATAGGTATATACTTACTTGGATAGGCAAACTGGGAGTATGGCATCCAGCTAGTGGCAGCCGCTGCCGCTGGTAGAGTGTGCAGGTCTTGAGGAGTGAAGGTTGCGTAGGTCGAAGAGGATGGGGGAGGTACGTGGGTCATGTAGCTAGCGTAGTTACCAGAAGTGATTGGATTGCAGTAGGCTGTCGGGGAAAATAAGAGAGAGAAAGAGAGAGAGAGATTGATAAACTAGCTTTCCAGCAGGCAAAGGTAGGCTACAAATAGAACAGCAGTGAGCCAGATCGATACGACTAATAGAATTCATAGACTGAGGGTTGCAAGGTATGTCGGTTTAACATCACAACATCTTGAAATCAGCGATACTCACAATTTTCCGATTCACTATCATCCCCAGGCCACACAACCCAGTCTAGCGAGGCAGTCTGACTAAAAGCCAAATTAAACAGTCCTAAGAGCTTTGGTGAGCAAAAAGGAGTGCAAAGCTTAGGTGTTTTAATGAGGACCGCCCGACAATAGTTATAAGAACTGAAAACTCGCTAAAACCTACCAACTGATGCCTGTGAGGAGTAGCTTGTCTTTAAGTGGTCGGGTTGCAGTGCTGTGCGGTGAGTAGGAGGAGGAGAGAATTTCCCTGCCTGCTCCAGCTTAGTTTGTTGCGGTGGGGACGAGTTCCATGTCCCATTACGGTCGGCGCTGTTCAGGCTGAACCAAGCCTGCACACACAGAACAGAGATAATGGAGATTAGGTCACATATCTTATAACCCTTCTTCTACTAGGCAAACAACTTTTTTCACAAATGGTTTAGTGAACCGTACATGCTCCAAGTGATCTGCGACTTTTTCGTGTGTGGAAATGTTTATGGTAAATGCCCACGTGTGTTCTGCGGCTACTCTAGCCCCTGCTTTTACTCGTGGCACCGCCATATGTGGAGAGGGAGGCCTCTCTCCGGTTGAGTGAGTCCACTAGGCTGACCCACATCTCTAGCTATGGCAGATATTCCGCCGGTGAACAAGCCCTTGCCGCATTCCTCTAGTCTGCGCATCTCTCTAGTGATTTGGTGATCTGCGTGTACGACACCAGGTGTGCAATAATGGGCAATAGGGGGGAGGGCTGTGGGATTGTGTGATCATCAGACGAGAGACATGGCCCCGATTTGTCTGTTATGACAGTGCCGGGCAAAAATGTCAATGATATTCTCGACCTCTGTCTCTGCCGCCTCCCACTTGCTCTCTGACTGTAGCATATACTTCAAGGGTCTATCGTCCACTGTGAAGATGTGGTTGTAGAGTTAAACACTTCCAGCTATTGGTTAATATGTGAGAGAGAATGGTGCCAGTAGAGCATTGCCATCGTAGTCTCATACGCAACTGATACACACCGATACAAAGCACTTGTCCCTTTAATGGTGACAGACTGTTGCTTGCTTGACAAGGCATGCGCCCTGCTTTGCCACTCAGCTGAGCCGTCAATGTTGCATGGAAGAGCCAATTGCAAGCCTCAGTTCCCTCCACTAAACAAGACCGTCGTCTGGACAGTGAAGCGTGCAAAACTGAGGCCCCCTTCGTGCGCTCAACTCGACCGTCCACAAATCAAATAGTGCTGTAGTTAGTGCGACAGTACGCAGCGGTTGTAGGCCAATTTCACGCCGGCATTCTCACAAAATACCGATCCGTTCACACGTCAGGCACTTGAAATGGGTTGTTGAGCAAGGATTTTCCACTTACTCTTGGTGAATTAGCAACGAAGGCAATTGCCCATACCTAAACACATTTTCAAGGACACGCCATCGGACGGAATAGTAGCGGTCATTGCATCATTTCGCCACACACACACACACACCTAAAAACTATGGGATTTGTAGTGAAATCTGCACCATTATTACGTAAGCCACTATAGGCACCGTGCTAGGGCAAACAGTATCGGAGACACAAGAGGGCGGCTGGCACACAGGCGTCTAGTGTCTTAGTTTGCGTGCGTGTGGGAGATGGATCTAGAGTTCTGTGGACAGGTGTTCGGGGTCTCTCGATACACGGGATCACGTATCCGGTGACACATATAGGATAGCGTCCAGCACTTTGTTATGCATTCCAGGAATGTGAGAGTGAGGCAATAAGAGAGTCGTGTATCGTGCGAGGTAGAAATACGAGTAGCTTCGGTCGGCAGGTAAACATAATCAAACTCTGCTCATTTCGGGATAATCTATTCCGCCCCGTTTACAGTCGTTGTACAGTGTGCGATTACGGGTGCAAATCCAACTGTTTGTCAAACTGTAATTATAGTGCGGTTTTTACTGCTGCGCCGGCATATCAGGTTGGACTATGAAATTACAAGAACAGTTGGATATACCAATAATATCCTAAATATAGAGGTTTCATAGTGTAAACAACAAAACCCGGGTTTATAACACGGCATGCACTTTGCTTGCATTTTGGAAGTTGTATATAGGCTATAGGCAAACTATTGTATTTTGACTTGTGGGTAGAGTAAACCATACCTTGATGGCGGTCGCTGGGAGTTTGGTTCGAGCTGCAAGCTCCTGGACGTGCGGGTCGTTATGCTGCCCAGAGTGGTAGGCCTTCTGAAGGAGTTGCAGTTGGAGCTCGGTGAGTGCCCGGAGAGATGCCTGGTCTTCTAGCGTCTCGGTGGAGCTGTCAGCTAGAGTGTGCCGAGAGGGAGAGAGGAGGGAAGGAAGGGGTTGAAAGGGAAGGAGTTAGGGGTAGACCCACAAACGACAAGCCTGATTTGCATGTCAATCTTCCGTGAATGTGTGACCTCAGGTTGGATGCTACGACAGAAAGTTATAGTTACGGCAAAGTGCGCATACTTCACAGACCACCAGCCACTCTCCACTTACATGCATGCATACCCTCCCAAGCACATGATACTTTGGGCGAAACCAAGCAGGCATGCATGCATGGTTGAGTGGAATAAGACAATCGCCCAGAACCCCACTGGCTTTCAGGAGCTGCAGTTATCCACGGTTTGTTGATTGACCACTGGTGCATTATAAAGCAACTGGTAACGTTACCACCGATACACATACTACACATTAATATGATGCAATGTATAATCATGGCCCAAACACAATGAGGCAGTAACAAGTCCAAGGCATATCTTTCGCACAATGCTTCCAGATCACATGCCACAACTACCACAATGATAAGGATACTAGACCAAGTGATGACAAGATGCAATTATGATACCGCAAACCCGTAGCCCGCTATGACGATTTGGGCCCCAAATGTTTTTTCAATATCTCTTCATTGGAAGACACATCCAAATGCTGGACTTATCCCCAGGGAGAGGGCAACCATACATCAAGGGTAATATCACAAGGGAAGAACAGTTTTTATCTAAAACCTGTATATAGCGCGTATATACAAGATTTTCGCGAGACGTGACAACGCTCGCGGTGGACAAATCTGCACCTGCCCTCACATGCCCAGACTATGCCCTAATGTGAGAGGGAGTTGCACCGAGGAATAGAGTCCACCCAATGACCCGGAACATGTGGGTCGGATTGATTTCACAAAGAATTCCACTACGGGAGCAGCGCAGCACACAACCTACCACACAGCTCGCTTTAGCCCAGCACTGAAGCGCACTGGGAGCACTGATGCTCTGTTGTGAGGGTCTTCACAAAAGAGCCCAACTATACACATTTGATAGAGAAGGGTGTATATATCACTTGCATGTGGAGTAGACGGGCACTTATCAAGCTCACTGTGTACATAAACTGGGAGTAAGTGGGCTGATGAGGGCACAATGCCCCAGCCCTAGCTCCCACCAAGGCTAGCAGAACTTCCTGCATTCTTATGGCCTACCTGGGACTCTGGGGAACAGCATACAGTGAGTGTGCAGCAGACTTATGCAAAGTGCCAACTGCCACTGCACAAACCTACTGACATTATATAGGCGTACTCATTTCAGAGGTGCCATTAAACCCTGATGCAGTTCAGGCTTAGACATGCACACACAGTAGTGAGAACGCAAAGAATGGTGCAAGCATTCCAGCGCTCCACCAAACTCCCAGGTGGGAGATGAACTAAGAGATGACTATGAAAGATAGGCGTCTGGGGGAGTGTATCAGTGAGTAAGGGCTGGGAGGTTACTCCAGGCACAACATCTCACACAGTAACTCGTGTGAAGTAACTGTATTGGATCTGCCATACTACAGTGAGTGCCTCCTACATCTATAGGCATGATACACACTGTGACTGTGGGTTGGCAGTTTCACTTATCACCAACACTAGTTTTAAAGACTGCAGTGAGCTCTGTCTGTACAATGGTGCACTGTCAGTTAAAGGGTAAAGCAAGATACTTCAAGTGGGGATTCTAGCTAACTATCATCAGACTCTCTTTATAGATCGGTGCTCAAGCTATTGAAGCCTGTTGAAACATGCAAAACTAAGCAAATAGAAAGAGGGTTTAGAATTACCCGCTACTACATTTTTACCCGGAGTTTTGAATTTGTGACACACACACACACTTAGTAAGCGTACCTTCGACTTGCTCTCCGTTCGTGTTGCCATGGCCGTTGGTGGTGAGCCCTTCTTCAGAGTTGCTGCGCGACATCATTGCGGCATGATCGCTGGTGTTGAGCGGCATGTTGGGGGAAGGAGCATTGGCCGAATCGATGGCAACAGAGGCTTCGGTCGTCTGCTGGTAAACTGACTCCCCGGCAATTGGACTGCTCACGTTTGAGCTGCAACTGGCCCCGGGCGGCATGCTACTCTCAGGCTGAATCCCAGTCGGGCTCAAAGAGGGGAGGTGACTCGTGCCCGGCTGTTGATAGTAAGGCCTCTGCGGTGGGGAATTCGCACTCGACACTGGGTAAGTCAAGTGCTGTGCGGGTAGAGCTGGTTTCTGAGCCGACCCACCGGTCCCTGGTGCGTATGAGGATGTCTCAATGGAGTGGTGAGCAGCGTAAGGCTGCAGACACCCGCCCGTTGCGGCAGCTGTCATGAACCCACCAGCCTCCAGAGGAGCGTGAGCAAACTGAGAAGCGAGCCGAGAGCCGGGATGGTGGTTCGGGAGTGGAGCAAAAAACGGCTGCTGCTGGAGATGAAGACCCTGCGTGGCAGACAGCTGGGAGTAGTGCGGCGCCATGAAACTCATGCTCGAGCTGCTCGGGATGAAATCCCCGTGAATGATGGGCAGTGATCCCGGCTCGGGCTGAAACACGTGCGAGTGGGTGAGTCCGACCTTCTCGTGCATCACCTTCTGCCTCTGCTGCGCTCTCGTGCGGACGATCCTGTTTATGGAGCTGACAGACGGAACACTGTTCTTGTCACAGACGTTCTCCTGGAGGAGCCTGTCGCGGATTTCCCAGGCGAAAATGCTCGGATTTTCTTGTTTGTATTCTTCGATCTTTGTCACCACCTTTGGCGTGGCAACTTTGGGTTTACTCCCGCCTATAACACCAGGCTTGATTGACCCCGTCTCAAAATATCTAGATAGATAGAAGAGGGGGAGGATCAAACTTTCACAGATGTGGAGCTTGTGGTTTAGGGTCCAGCAAGCCGTGCAAAATTAGAGAACATACTGGGATCATACCACATCCTTGGCTCAGTTACACACGCAAGCAAGATACCTGCACGACCACAGAATTTCACAACAGGGCTATACGGCGGCCATACCACACGCACTGTTACCAACGCTTACCAATCTCACCCCGCCGCGAAAGTTGCGCTGCGGACCGCTTAGACACTACAAACACAATCTACCACTCTCCTGAGCCTCACCTCCCCAGGATCTTGCTCACGCAGCCGTGCGAGACCCGGAGCTGGCGGCTAATGTCGCACGGACGGACTCCGCCATGGGACAGCTCCACAATCTTCCGCCGAATGGGTTCGGGGAGTGGGCGGCCGTTTACAAACAGTCCGCCGAGTTGGTTGACGCCGCCTTGGCCGTTGCAACCTTTCCCCATGTCTGAGGCCGTTACGTCCATCTGGTGAGTCGTTTGAAGTGTGTTCGCTTGGAGCGATAAGTGATTTGGGCCGGGCTGCCGGTACGCGGGAGAGTGTGCAAGTTCTGCACTACTGCGTTTTCTTCCACTGTCCTCTTGGCGAAAGCTGCGATTTTGTGTCTTGCGAGAGAAGAAGCGAAGAAGCTCACGAGGCTCGCACGGTGAATTGAGTGTTCGTTGCACTTCAATGGCGATGGTTATATACACCCTGCAGCGAAGCGGCTCGCTGCGCGATCTTCGTATCGTGGAACCTAATGCGCATGCGTATATACGCACAATCATGCGCGCGCACCCGCACAAAACTGCGCTTGTCACCGAAGGTAAAATATGAACTGTTATAGAATGCACACACAAACAGCAGCATAATAGGTTATAGCAATGATATATAACATTTCAAAACAAACAAGCGGTTAGATAATAATTTAGTATAAAATCTTTTACACAATTAGAAAGACGGACAAAACCAAGCACACACTAAAATCTGAGATAAGACAGATAAGAAAATCTTTAGTATCTGAGTCATTGTCAATGAAATGAAAGATGAGGATAATATAGATCTTTGTCATCACATTATTATTATTAGGTCCAATCATAAGTGCATGTGGGTGCCAACGAAATAAAGTCACTTTAATTCGGTCGTTTCGGTTGAAAGTTAACATTAATTAAAGGGAAAAGAAAAGAAGGGAGAGATAGTGAGTGGGGGGAGGGAAAGAAGCACAAAGTAGTATATTTACTGTCTGCAGAAGGATGTATGTATGTTGGGATAACTGGGAACTGTAGAATGCGCAGCGGACGGGGGGAATGTCGTAATAATCAGATGATGGTTGATTCACGTTTGAGACTGGAATTGTCACAATCACACGACAGACAGAGACAGGGCTGCATTGGACATACGTGATGAATTTTTAAAGATAGGGAATTAACATTCAAAGAATTGGGGAGAGGAGGTTGTTGTATTGCAGTTTAAATATAATTATTCAGACGGTTGTTTCCGTGGAGTGTATGTTGTACATTGCGCGGTTGGAAAAGGCGGTGTGGTGATGGTGGTGGTGATGGCCGCACCTCGAAAGACCTCCTCCACAAAAGTGGTGGTGCGGGGGATTGAACTGTCCGCTCCCGCGACTTCGCGACGACAGCAGAAAACTCGAGTTGCTGGAGTTGGTCCCTCCGAGACGGACGGTTTCCGTGGAGAAAGCTTGCCCCGGGTAAATCCCGAGACTCTCCGTACCACTGTCGAGCATGCAGTTCTTTGAGGTCATGGGGGACATTGTGCGACTGGACGAGAGGCTCGGGGTGGTGGGCGCTAATTGGGAGTCCATGGACTCGGAGTTACACGTGAGGTCAGTCGGGGTGTCTGTTTCGGTGAGTCCGGAGTCTTTGGAGCCGAATTTCGAGAGTTTGAACATGCGGATTCTCTCGGCTATGCACTGGGCAGAGAGTCGGGCCTCTGGTTCCTGGTCCCAGCTTTCTTTCAATAGTATCCCGAATACTGTCGTACTCCTGGTGCAGAGAGGGAGAGGGGGGAGTGAAGTAAATAGATGGACCAATGGTATATACAACATAAGACTTGCTATTATTAGACATTATGTGTATTGCGAGGGTCTCATCTTGCATTATGGCCACAGGAATCAGTCGAATCTCCAAACATAACACACCTTTGTGGCAAAACCAACTTTAGTAACTATCAACGCTATCAACCCTTCTTGGGATAATTGCACACACGTATGCAATATCCAACCACCCAAAACTCGCACACATGCACAGATCCCGTGATTTCTCCTCCGGGGATTGCATACAAATGAAGCACGACACATACACAACTATTCTCCAGGCTTTTCATGCATGACTACATCTGACAGGTGGTCTTGAGCGTGACTAACACGTACAGACCACTTTTCACACTGTAGTGTTCTTCACTAAGCAAACGGGCAGGTCTGTCGCCAACACAAAGTGTGGAAATTGTTAATATGGCGGATATAAGGCTGACAAGTAATTTATGTAGGAAACAGCTGGAAATCCTAGCCCGAGTTCCTTAGACTTCATGTGATTTGTTATACATACATAAAGCCTTATCTCCTATCACCAACACGGCCAACCATTTGTACAAACTCCAGTTTATCATTTGTCTTGGGCAAACACACACACCACCGGTCAAACAAAGCATTACGACACACTGCTACAATAGCTATCCAGCTGGGATCTAACAAGAAGTGTATGCTGGCAAACAGAGCGTGAGGAGACTAACAACAGGACACCCAGAGTCTGCCCTCGGATCTACAAGTCTTTCGCCGTCGCAGTCAAAGCCGATGGGCTTGTTATTGATTCTACCTTCTTCCTCTCCTCTTTCCTTTTTTATGCTCCAGTGCTAAATAGCCGTGAAATTTACGTTGAGTGGAACCTCGTATATGGACACTCTAAATAAAGAACACCTAATACAGGACACTCTACATAAAGGGCACCTCTCTATAAGGGAAACTTCTTTCCGTCTGGTGCTATACTGTATGTACATTATTCAACCTTTGAACCGTTTCCGTATAAAGGTCAATGTCCAAATGTGATCTAGAGAATTCAAAGCACATGAGTGTCCCAATGCCCTGCTATCTTGGCTATAATACTAATATTTGACGCTATCTATGCTACATGCGGTCTTGTAGGAATATAGGCTGTGAAATGGGTTTTCCAGCAATCTTTGATTCTACGGCCTTCAATCTCCTTTCAGAGACCAAGCTTAGTACATAGCAGTACATATTTAACCCCTAAACCCTACATCTTAACATTACTAATCCACAACGCACATGCAGTGCCTTATAGCTATTGACATAATACTACTTGAGAAGTTCCTGTTGTCTGGCCCCCGAAATATCTATATACACCACTACTGGGAGCACTCACTGTCCTCCCTTCACTGTGGAACACATCCTACATAATGCGTGCGTGTGTTCGGCCTATCTAAATGTACACAGTAACACATACAGTGTTGATAGGGAGCAGCGTTTCCCCGCCAACTGCCCAGAGAGGGCATTCTGGCGGGAAGGGAAAAAGGTGAGGGTTTGATAAGCAAGCGTGCTGGAAAAACAGCTGGTACACACGTGTGATAAGAGCATATGGGGTGTACTGGTGTGTAAAACAGGCCAGGTTGGGGAGGGTTAGAGGATAACTGACGTTAACATTTATTGAGAATTAGGAGAGAGAGAGAGAGAGAGAGAGAGAGAGAGACTTACTCCACTTGTTGTGAATCCCTTGGCGATCGTTGGCCGCTTGAACTGACTGACGACAATCTCTCGCATCTCTTCAATGGATGGACTGGGAGAGACAAACTCATCAAATGGAGGACTGTACTGCTTCATTTGACCTGCAGCAAGAAAGAGAAGAAGGAGAGGGAGGAGGAAGAGAGAGAGAAGAATGTGAGAGGCATAACCACATGAGGGGGAAGAGGAGGAAAAGTGAGTAAGGGATAAGGGGAAAAGGAGGGAGACATAAGGAAAGGTAGTAGGGGGCCAATGAAATAGAGCATGTTGTCTAAACATCTCTGGTCACAACACCATGAGAACGCACACAGGACCACTGCCTGTTCAATCGACTGTGGAATCGATTCACATCGGACAGGGCATAGCGCCGCGGACGGACAGTAACACAGGCGCCGGCGCCGCAATACGCACGAGTCTCGCGTGTTTGACCCGCTCTCCCCCCTCTTGGTTCCAGGGCAATAGAAACTGAGCCGCCACGCTCCATGGGCTCAGAGCAGGGGACTTTGCTACGGAGGAGTCGGGCAGAGTATATACAGCGCCAGGCGAGGTGGGAAAAATCCCAGCAATGCGACAGGAAGTTTGTTCTGTGCTGGACCCATTTGTTAGTCACATAACTTTTCGAAAAATCCTTCTCGTATTAGAACAGCATGTTAATCTTAGGAGCTGAGGCCGTGGAAGATTTGTTCTGGTGCAGAATGAGCCTGCTTCTTTCAGTAAAGTAACTGCCCACTTTTCCCGAGAGCGTGACTACAGTGTGTATTAATTGAACGCCACTTGAGGCCAAAGGTATGTACACACTATAGTCTTTGAGGGCATATTACTAGTAGCTCTAGAGTAGTGCCTTTCAGAGAAGGCCAGTGGTCCTTTTGTTTTGTGGTTACAACTACCAGCTCACAAACTAGCTATGTAGCTACTCTCACTCTCTTCTCAAATATGATACTCCAAAAGCATCTGGAACAGGTGTGTATCGTAGGTAGTAACTCGAATACTTTTCTTTCTACGGAGGTAGAGTGGAAGCGTAGTGTCAAGTTTGAGCCACACAATGAGGTATACAACTCTCGACGGCAGGCCACACACACACACACACCGAGGACCCTCAGCCTGAATAAAAAACCATTGTCGAAGGCTCTGGAAGGCGCCATTGTCTGCAGAACAGGCAAATTCACGACTCATTGACCACCACTCTAACATCCACGGTGTCACCACGTACGCTGCCACATAGACAAACGTGGAGGGAAGAATTCAGTAGCGCTCCCTCTACCCCCCACCCCCAAGTGGACACCCAAGTGTTGGGTGGTCCTCCCTTTCCCCCCTCTCTCTCTCTCTTTCCCTCTCCCACCTCTCCTAATCGTCTGGGGGAGGTTGGGAACCGATTCTGGGAGTCTGGGGGGGAGACGGAAGATTTGTGAGTGACAGTCAACACTCGCATGCATTCCTCGCATACTCCTTTAAGTGGACAGGCGTTCGTATAGACACACGCAACCACGGGAACCACACAGTGTGCGCGATTTATGACCCCTGTAGCGGGTACGTAAAACAGTGTGTTATCCCTGTGTGAGCATCAGCAGTGTGCGGCCAAGTCGATCCGTGCACTGTTTTGGTCATTGCGTGCATGGTTGCTTTCGTACAAGAGTCGATGTGCATAACCATTCAAAACATCTCTGTGTTTTCAGGCATGCAAAGTGTGATCTAACACTATCGATCCCGAAAAGAGGTATTTACACACGTACAGCGTTGTGCATGCAGCATGCGTCCTTTTTGTTTTCAACGTTTGTGCGCGTGTAACTCGTGTACTTGTCTCTTTACGTAAAATCAACGGTTGAGTGGTTAATGTGATTGGAATAACAGATCGCTGGAATAGAATCAACGAAAGCATGCTGGAGCGACCTCCAAAAGCCAAAGTAACACACTCAGTATGGCGCTGCAAGCTCATGGAGGTGTAATGTTTCCTAGCAGTCAATTGGTGACCAGCTCAGCCAGTCGCCCTGAGAGAGGCCTCATGGATGCCCGGCGGCCAGGGCCCTGATAAGCAGGACACACACCAGAGGCATATCTGTGGCCAAGGCAAAGGCAACAGCCTGTCAAAACCAGTTGTAGATCCTCCGAGATGGAGCTGGCCTATCAGGAGGACGAGTCTAGTGTTTCCCCATGCCGGTGAGGGCAGTCTGGAGTAGAGTAGGCCACCCATCAAGTTAGCATCCACGAGGCAAGTCAGTAATGTTCCTAGGCGAGTTTCCCCGCTCCTTTTCCTCTTTGCAAATTATACAATAGCATGCATCAATATAACACAATTTACTCCTTCCATTGTTATAGTAAGTGTCCGGTACTTTAATTTAAGTAGACACTATTAGTAAAACTTTGACACGCACCAGCAAAAATCAATGGCAGTATACACTGATATCTTCTCTCAGAACTTTAAACCTTTACTTTTACTATAATAATATATTGTACAACGTCAGGAACTACACTCATTCACTCATCCGTTCTACTATATAGGCCTTGCTTTCAATAGACGCAAAACCCCAGATACTACCATTGTAAACACATTCTCCCTCAGTTGACTATTCTCACATGTAACGCGTATGTAAGTCTTTACATACATACACAGAGTTGAATTATGTACATACAATCAGTGTACGTAATACTGTCGAATACAGCAGTAACATGGAAGTGCAGCTTATGAGAGGGGGGTTGACTTACTGTTGGTGAGGTTTGTACGTGATGCCAGTTCCCACAGAATGAGAGCAAAGGCATAGACGTCGATCCTGAGGTAAGCCTCTCTCTGGAAACTGATGGCTCCCTCGAGGACTTCAGGGGCCATATAACGACTGGTACCAACCTGAGGATGAGGAGAGAGAGAGAGAAATGGAGGAAGGGGGGAGGGAGATGAGGGAGAGGTGGAATGGGAAAGAGAGGAGGAAGAAAGAGGAGGGAGGAGGGAGAGAGAAGGGAGAGAGAGGATAGTAAGGGGAAGAGGGAGAGAGGGGAGGGGAGGGGAGAGAGAGAGTAAGATCAAGGCAAAATAACAAAGCATAAGAAAAGCTAGCACACCATCTGAAAAAACAACAGAGGCCAGCTGCAAATCTCTCTGCACAGATAGAGAAAGCCACTCATCACTAGCTGACACTGCTTGCCTTTCAGCCGCACTGTTTGCTTCGTAGCTACTCACTGTGACTCCCCACACACTATAGCGTCACTGCTAGTTTTGCAAATTAGAGGCTAAAGAAGAATTACTCAAGAAAACGAAGGGTTGGTGGTCGGGACAATGGGGTGGGGTTTTAGCGACCTAAGATAAACTACGAATGCTCCACGGCGAGTTAACTACTCGAAAATTGTCTGAGGGGGTCAAAATTTCACCATGATCTTAAAGAAAAAGTTTGTAAAAAAGGGTGGACTCCCAAGATCATGTAAAGGTATTATAGTCTTGCAAATCGGTCATTTTTTCATTTTTCTTGTTTAAGTTTTTTTCACCGCTAAACACACAAACACTACAATTAAGTGTAGGTATATAGCATGCAGCACACAGCAAAACTGCGAGAGGCTCTGTAAATTGGGTGACAAATTACGCTCGCACACCTGTCCGTGAGCATCTGTACTTGTCTCCTCGCTGAGAAACTTGACGGCGAGGCCAAAGTCGCTGATGACGCAGGTGAAGTTGTTCCGTATGAGAACGTTTTTGCTCTTGAGGTCTCTGTGAGCGATGGACGGTTTCTTGGTGACTCCGTCCACTATTCTCTGGTCGTGGAGGTGAGCCAGACCTATAGGTACAGTAATACAGTAGTAGACCTATTAATACATGTATATGCCATAATGGTTGTAGGGTGGGAACGAACACTCCATTTTGGTGGGCACAGAAGGACACACTAAATGTATGTCCATACCTGCGAGGATATTTGTCTATTTGACAGAGTTTTTCAGCAACCACAACCATCACTTGTTTCTCTAACTTTGGGCATATGTACGTTATATAGCCATAGCTCGTTTTTTGAGAAATATTTTTAGTCTATTACGGTATCTTCTTCGTTCCTCGTTTGTTAGCCTAAGGTCATTCTACAACCGAATATCTTTATGGTATAATTATGCATAGAGAATTCTACAACATCTTTTACGGTCTTTGAGGTGTATATAATTATACATATAGAGTATTAATGGAAAGAGGTCTTACCGATTGCGGCTGACTCAGCCAGATCACAGAACCGTCTGAGAGTGAGGGTCTGTTTCTTGAGGAGGTCGTGGAGCGAACCGAGAGAGTAGTAGTCTGACACGATCCACAGCTCTGACCCCTTCTCCAAACTACCTCTGTTGGAGAGAAAAGGTACGGCGAGAGGGAGAAGGAGGAGATCGGGAGGGAGGAAGAAGGAGAGGGAGGAAGAAGGAGAGGGAGGAGGGGGAAGAAGGAGAGGGAGGGGGAGAGAAAGCCTTTTACTTTTGGGAACAGTCCCCTCTTTCTCTCTAAAACACTCCAAATTCAAGGGTTCAGAGTGGACTTGCTGACTATATGTACGTACATAGGTGATTCGGTACCTCGTACGCCACAGAGAACCGAGTTAAACTCAGCCACATATGTACGTAACAGATGTGTAATTATACACGACTCTGGCATATTGGTATTACACTGCACCTGAAGCCGAGAATGTACTTGTGTTCCAGCTCAGGAGTGGTGTAGATGTCGCACTCGCGCGTCCACGAGTCTCGACTCAGCTGAGTGTTGGGAAAGACCTTCACGGCCACCTCAGCCTCCACGTTCTTGGCCCGATAGACCGCCGCGAAGCGACCCTGCCCCACCTTGTCTATGAAGGTGAGGTTCTGGAAGCTCACGTCTGGACTGCGTGAGATGAGTCCCTCCTGCTCTTGCGGCGCTAATGAGAGAGGGAGGGAGAGGGGAGGGAGTGACGGAGTAAGAAAATGTCTGCTATCAGCGTAAAGGAGGACTGTATATACTGTTGGGGCAAAAAACCTCCCTTGAATTGCTTACAAGCTTCGTAAAAACTTTCGTGAATAAAAGTTTGTAAAAACTTTCGTAATATGTTGGCTGGAGTGCAGCATGTTGAACACTTACGAGATTAAAAAAATTTGAGGGAAATTTGTGTTTTATGGTCGTGAAACGCAGCCATTTAGAACTGGTCTTGTGTGAGTGCATGGACTAAGGGTATACCACTAAGTACGGTAGCACTTAGTGTATAGGGGTGACACAGGTTGTCCTGCATTATGCCCATATATACATTTGAGATTTTCATGTTTCACTAATGTTGGATGGCTTACAGTAGATCTGGTCGTTCTTGTTGGGGTGGATGGTCCCGCTCCAGTACATGTAGCAGATGCAGCCGATGCCGGCAGCTACGACGGGGATCAGGACGAGCAGGGCCAGAATGACGACGACGATGAAGATGAGTTGGCTACGAGAGTCGTCAGTACTCTGGTCTGAGGACTGGTTGAGAGGGGCTGAGGGGAGGAGAGGAGGAGAGGGAGGGAAAAAGGACAAAGAAATGGGCGGAGGAGGAGAGGGCGGAGTGAAGGTAGTGAAAAAGATGTCAAGAGAGGAGAAGAGAGGAGAGAGGGGAAAGAGGCAGAAAACGACATTACTTTTAGCCGAAACCCCCACTACTAAAACTAGGAACAGATTTTTGGCGAGCAAAGCAAGCACTTTCAATTATTCAATCGTACTTAGAATCACGTAAACATTACGGTACGTGCAGTGCCCGTACCCGCCGTACGCTCCACTCGCCAATCACAATACACAATGCGTAGTCGTATAAAACTCTACCAGTGGCGGTCGGTGAGGGCACAGGAGTGCTACTGGACGAAGCACTAGTCCCACTATTGTCGGTGCGTGTATCTGTCACACCATCCGGAGGAGTCACGGACGGAAAGACAATTACTCCGTGTCCGTTGCAGTAGTTTGTCTTGCAGCAGCAGTAGTAAATGCTTCTCTCCGGCTGCACGAGGTCCAGGACGCACTGGGTGTCGTCTGTGCACTTAAAGTCACCGGAAAAACAGCTCAGGAGTCGTGGTTCGAAAATACCGTCGTCGCGAAGCTTGTATGTGGCCTGTAGAGGAACAACATTATTTCATTTTGTGCGAAACTGATGTATATTTTAACCTTGTACGTGTGACACCAAAAGGACAGAGGAAAGTGTTTTTATTAGAGGGGTGTCCTCATTTCAGGGGTTAGCTATTTTGAGTTTGGAAGAACTGTTGTTGGGGGAGAGGAAAGCGTTTTTAATTATCATCATCATTTCAGGGATATCCTTAGAGAGAGGTTCAACTTCAGATAGTTAGCAGTGATACCAACTTCTGTTCATGAGTCAAGAATCTATATATTACAGTTACACACGTACATACGTACATATACATATGTACTGGCACTGAAGACAAGATTACGGAATGTTAGAGTGTTGATGAAAATTTGAGTGCTCACAAAATTCCCTGCCACCTGGTGTAGTGGTATATGTACATACATACGTATGTTATCATACCTGACAATGGTGGTTATCGTGGTTGGCGTTAGTTGCAGGGTCGTCGTAGGCCTCGTCGCAATATTGGTTCTCGTAGTGGTCCTCGGAGCACCTGATGCCAGTGATATTGCAGGCGAGGTGGTGGCAAATGAGACCGGTATCTGGAGGTGACCATGAGAGTGACCATGAGAGGTGACCATGGGAGGTGACCATGAGAGGTGACCATGGGAGGGTGAGGTGTACATGTATTACAAACGTGCTTTACAAATGGATTACTTTGTCCTACAGCGTTTAACATCGCGACCACAGACATTGGTAAAAGCGTTGCTAACTGGTTTTCACAAATGTATGGGCATGATGCTGGACATTGTCGTCCCTGTACTACGATACCTAGTGATATGGAAATGCCGTTGGAATTGACTAGACACGCTCACTTCCTCTGCCAACCACGAGATTTGTCCGATTTAACAAAGATCAAAAGGACGGTTTTACCGTTTGTTTGCCAGTATATAGTACAATACAATTTTTATGAATTGAGTGACATGCATTTTTGGCAAGTGAGCTCACAGGCACATGTCCTTTGAACCACACTCACGCGTGATTATACTCACCACATACCTTTTTTTTTTTTTTACATTTTGTTTTAATGTAATTTGGTGCGAAGTATGTAAACAGTGGAACCTCTCTAATTCGGACACCAATGGTACAGAAGAAATAGTTTTTTCAGGTGTTGGAAAAAAAGAACTTTTATTGGGAAAGAAAAGCTGAACGCATACTAAGAGGTGTCACCATAGTTATCAGGGGTGTCCTTAGAGAGGGGTTCCACTGTATGGTACCGTAGTAGGGAGGCTCATAGCAAACTGACCTTCGCAGTGTATTCCGTCGTCAGAGAGCTTCTGGTGAGTGGGGCAGCCGCAGTGGTGTCCAGTACCAATGTCATTGATGCAGTCCTCACAGCTCCCGTTGTTCAGCTTGCATTCATCCAGATCTTAGAGGAGAGAGAGAGAGAGAGGGGGGAGGAAGAGAGAGTTTTCGAGGGAGAAGTGTTTACCGTTCGATATGCAGAATATCGGGGAGAAAGGTTTTGCTTATACTGCTGTGCAAATGGTCTTTGCTGACAAAACTATTTGAAAGTTTCCAACTATCATTACTACAATGTGCTGGTAAGTTAATGAATGCGCCATAGTGAGGGGTTATTATTGGATTTGTGTGATTGCAGACTCACCGAAACAGGATTTCCCGTCTTCTGAGAGAACGTGGCCATAATCACAGTAACATTGAGGGGCCCCTCGTGAACGATGCACGAATGATGGCAACCAAGACCTTCACAAGGATCTACAACTGTGAGAGGAAGATGAAATAGATGCTGATTCATGAGTGATGCCAGCGTGCATGTCATGGCACAATGACATCAGTCAGTTAAAAAATTCAGATGACTAGGCAGGCTCACTTTGCTCGCCAGTAAATAAACGCAGTTGGTGGCAGCAGACTTACTCATGTTGTCAACTTTGCCGGGGTGAGAAAAGGTGACGTTCTGGTTGCACAGGTCTCCGGAGCAGCAGCAGAACTGGTCGCCGTTGAACTCCGTCTTGATGTGGCAGTCTTCCCGGCACCAGCCCACTTCCGTGACCGTGGTACAGTTCTTTTTCGCCAGCTGGTACTTTTGTATCGAGGTATTGTAATGGTAGTTTGCCTGGAAGGGAGGGTTTCGTAACAGGAAATCGGAATCGAAAGAAAGGCAAGAGCAAAGAATCGACAACACCCAAGACAACACTAAAGGTGAACTATATTTTTTCAACATGCACACCAAGGTATAGCTTTCTATTTCGATTTACATAGGAGCTGTGAAAAATCATTTATGTCTCTTTAATGACAGCTGCATTTGACTTCTTACCATACAGAAGGAATTATCTCCAGGGGGGCATTCCTGGTAGCCATAGTAACACTCGTTAGAGTCTTCTCCACATGTGTACTCTTCACATGCTAGTACATCTGAGGGAGGGAGGGAGGGGGGAGGGAGGGAGGAAGGGAGGGAGGGAGGGAGGGAGGGAGGGAAGGAGAGAGAGAGAGAGTAATACTGAACCATGAATACTATGAAAACAACATGTGCAGCTAAACGAATGTAAGAGTGCCTAAAAGCGTCCCCAACCCTTTTTACACATACCAACGATGCGAGTCAAGTGTAAATATAAATATTATGTAACACAGTACGGTGCAATGCATACATATGCACACGGCACTAAAGTAAAGGTGGCTGGCTGTCTGTCTTTGTACACTTAAGGGTTCAAGAGCGTCACACTTCAAAGTACATGTTTATCTATAAACACAGACAAACTCAATTTGGTTTGTATGTATACAAGCAGCGCATCAGAAGACTATCATTATTACGTGCTATTACATAACAGGAATCTATAAGCAATACACATCCGGAACAAAACTTGAGAAAAGAGGTGTTTATGGTGGGACTCGAACCGTAAAACTAGGCAAAGCTGCATGAAAGAGACTGGAGAAATGAACAGTGTACACAATAGTAGCTACACCCACTGGGATTACTATCGATGGGCGCAAGAGCTTCAGAGAGGACTACAGTAACATGATCTCCCTGTGCCCCATTACGGCTCAAGTGTGTGGCCAGTATTATACAAACAACACTCTCCATTGCAATGCCAGGAATGCTGGGAGTTCACTTGTTTCTTACGGCACATACGTAGGGGCATTTATGTTACACACTGTATATGAGCATGCACGTACATTGTAGTGTTTCAGTCATTGTATGTAACATAGTGGGAGTTGTTCGTGTGAGAAAGGCATGCGGTCATAGACACCATATCCTCCCATACTTCCCTTTGTCAGTCTCAACCCACCTTTGACGCTACAGTACCTATGTATACCACATTACTTTATTGTCACCACTCAATGATATAAGGGTTCAGTTGTACAACAGAGGGTAACATTGCATGAAATTTGCAGGGTGGGTCCACCACTGTTCATACATATACAATAATCCAGTCACCTCAGATGCATTTACATGCCTGTCCTACTCTGGGATATGGTGCAATATCCTATGGCAAGTAATTTGAGACAAGTACAGAGGAAGGACATAAAAGTTTGTGAGGTACACTGGAATTGCTTCGGTTTTCGTGGCTGGATAATTCAATTTACATGCCTAGACAGTTTTGCGGGGGTTCAAGTCCCACCCAGGACAGGCGCATGCCTTCCTTTGTCGACTCAACCGTCACTCACACATACATATTAGGGCTTTTCAGGAGAGGGGAAACTCTCCCCCTTGACATCAGCAGTTTAGTGTATTAGTGTGTAGAGATTGGACACCAGAGGACCAGACTGCTAGAGACGCTTGCTTCCTCGTCGCCAGCTACCATTTTTGCAGGCTCCTGTGGTTTCGATTAGTTTCTTCCCCCCTTAAAAGTGTATCACTGCTTAACTGGATACTATATAGCTCGACTGATGTACATACGTACGTATGTATGTATGTATGTATGTATGTATGTATGTACATGCACAGCTCCAATGTGAACACTGGGGCCAGAAGTAAGTGGCGGCTCATTCAATGCAGGGATCTAACGACGCGTGCAGCAGCGTTCCCCCGAGTGAAAACAGCCCGTGGGCTTTCCTGGTTGGCAGTTAGACTCCGTATGCCAGGGCTATCAGCCCCACGAATGGATGCACGGACGGGCCTATACCCGCTGCCTTTGAAGCCGTGAATTGCGTGATTGGGAACAAATGAGGACTTGGCATAATACCAGCCGCATACGTTGTATTGGAGTATCATGCGGCACATAATACACTTCTGGAAGGATCATACAATGTGTTCCTTTGCAAACACCTGCATGTACTTGTAATTTCATAATGTAGTACATACATTGGTGTGCATTGCATATGTATTACACGTGGTACGAAGTATGCGCTGCGTAATAATGTATGTTTAGTTTGGAAATGAACTCTACGAATACGGCATAAAGGGCAGGGACAAAACACAGAACACACTCAAAGGCACGTGTATGTGAAATGTTAAGCCGGCCTCTCTCTAAGTGTCTTAATCTTGTGAGGGGCATGCTTTTATTGATATTCATAGCTACACAGAGAGAAAGGGAGAAGGAGAGGGGGGGGGGGGGGGCAGGGGAAGAATAAGTGTTGTGGATGTCAACGTACTGTCGTGAGGGTCGACGGTAGGTGGGTCTGAAGGGTTGGTGGGTGGAGTTATCGTGTCACCAGTCGGGGTGAGAGCAGGTATAGAGTTGCAGAGATCTCCTGAACAGCAACAAAAGAAGCTGTGACTCAACTCCTCCGAGGGGACACACTCGTGGGAGCAGGGGACGGTGGCATGGTGACACCCGAAATACGACGCAATGTCCGTCCCGTTTATGAGACGGCGGTATTGCGCAAGGCACGATATCTGCCTGCTCTCTTCGCCGTGGGGACACGTTTCGATACACCAGTCGTTACCGTTCCCACATTGATTAGACCAGCAGAGGAGGCTGTTGGCACGGACGGAGGCAAACACTAGTGCCACCGTTGAAATTATCGTCAAAAGATTGTTGAGACGGTCACCTAAATTCATGTCTTAGCCAGCAAAGGAGGTTACTTAGGGTCTGTCAGGGGTCTTTATGTAGGATTTGGTCTTTATGAAGCCAGTAGAATTCTGTGGAGGGAGGCAAAATAATAATTTTCAGTCATCAAACAACAAACATGTGCCCCCCCCTCCTCCTCCAAATTATTTATGACCCTATGATCAAGGCACTTTATTGAACAGTGTACCCCTCCCACCAGTAATAATATATCCACAGGGGGGATGGGATATATGTATCCAGATGTTCACTGGGTGTATGGAAAGTAATACAAACTGTAAGAGAAGAAGCAAGGAATGACAATCATTCGAGTATTGACATCGTCGCAATAGGTGTAGTAGCTAGTCGCACAGTTTGTGTGGTAACTATGTATATAGTAGCCAGCCAGTAAGTCTCTAAGGATGGGTCTGTTGTACACAGGGGGAGGGGTTTAGCACCACCTCCATGCGATCAATTTCAACACTCGGCATGCACACACACACACACACACACATACGCATGCGCAGCGATGGTTGCAGTACTTGGTTTGTATGTCTGTCTGCCAGTACCTTATTTCTGCCACTTCACACAACACGGCAGCCCAAGATTGGCACTGTATCAGCACTACACGTTTATGGGCTAATCCACGATGGGCATATTTTCCAAGTTCCAATGCTGACATACTAAATTACAAAGGATATGCAGTGGAACAACCCCTCTAATCTGGACAGAAAACACCACAATGCTCAGATACAATAATCTAATGCCCTCCAATAAGCTCTAAAGGACCCACACCCCCCACCAGGGTCACAGAATAAGTTCAGAAGGACAATCTTGATGGTGCTCAAAACCAGTAATTGAGTAATCCAAGTCCGGCTGCTAAACTGGTTATAGCGTGGAGCATAGAGCCTGTTCCATATTCCCCCAAGGCCGAGCTAAATTTGCCACCTCAATGCAATTAGGCCGCACACAGCATGGCACGCCGGTGTCGTGTCTCGCGACAGGGACACTGTTTACGTTACACTGTTGTTGTTATTGTTGTGTGTGTGTGCACCACCACCGCTTTCTCGGAATTGACACTGCACAGCTTTCAGAGACAGCTGTGAATCTCAAAACTTTCGTACTATTTCCACCACAGTTGTCTTGACTCGTTCAGTGTTTTTCCCTAACCTCACAACTACACATGTAGCTACTCCAATCACCCCCAATGCACCATTCACCTAACAAAACTAGTCACCAATGTGAACCAGGTCTGATACCATGCGAGAGAGCTTGTAAAAGTTCCGCTCTGCATAAGTTTGCCCACGGTTTTCAAACGCAATGCGTCTACATACATATTATACACGTGTACGTCAGTCAGCTTAAGTCACAAGTTGAGCATGCGGTCGGAGATTTTTCACGAGAAGGCCATATTGGTAGGTAATCCCATTCAGGGAACCATCTGTGCGTTGTGTCCACGGCCGTGCTCACGAGGCCAAGACAACAGCCGCTCACACAATGCAATAGCGGTCGAATCTATGGCCCAATTCCACAACGAGCCAAATGAATTAGAGAAACATGGAGGTCCCTGGTTTTGGTCGTCAATACACCGGCCAGAAAACGAAAACAGCCAGGTTATGTGCTGCAGAGCAGTATGCCCACACGATCCCCTAACGCGACAACATCGCTCCCCGATGAGCATGTATGGAAAAAGGGAATCCTCCTCTAATTGTTTCTCAATCACAGGCTCTGGTGTATTATAGTACCTACACCAATCGTTGCACGCAACAAACCGTGTATTGAAATGCATGGTTTTAAAACAGACACGAAAATTGTACAGAGGGTCTGATGACTTCAGAAATGAAAAGTAAACGCCGTTGGCAATAACCACACCTAAACCCTAGCACAGGCATACACTGTGTGTGCGTGTTATGCAGAATTATATGGTAGCACCTGAAGTGCTCTAGGGCATGGAGACTGAGGGCAGAATGTAAGCAAATGTTTGTGGCTACCGAAATATACACAAACACAGTATCGCACAGTTCCCTGCTACAGGAATACAGCTCAGACAAACTATCTGTGCCATATCATGTGTCAATAAAACGCAAGAGTGTTTGGTGTGGTGCGGTCGCTTTGAAATGGTCAGATTGGCTCCCCTACAATAGACTATCAGATTATGCACCGTCTAATTCCGCTGCATTCCGCTCATGTTTTCCCAGCATCATTGAATAGCTAACTGAGTTATGGGAGCACGCTGGGCCCCGCCAACAACACTCACCGGAACGTCACGGGTTCGCAAATACAACACAAAAAGAACGCATTATAGGCAACAGTTGGGGCCCTCCTAGTATCCAACACATCCGCCACATATATACAAACACAGGCCTTGTCGGGGGGGATTGAGAGGACCCAAAATCAATTACCGTGGAGGGTTTTGGACTGCGCGGCTCTTGTTCTAACAAATCGAGACCCCACCGGTGTCCCTGTGTACGGGGCCGCGACGGACAAAAATGACAAACTGTCGGCAAACTTGCGACACACTCAGAGATATCGCTGTGTGTGTTGTACACACACACAGAATGTAATAAGTTCCAAGATACAAAGAAAATGCGGCAAAACACACACACAAAAGACAAAACAACCTGGGAAATGTGCCAGTGGGGATTAAGTGGACAAGATTAATTTGATGCTTACGTAGATAGACAATACCGTGCCCATATTATGTTTACTGATGAATACATGCTATCCTTTGTGAAATAAGCAGCCACTTTTTCATCAACAGTTATACAGACACACAAATGAAAAGCAAGTAGCGTCCACACAAAATAAGCTCAGTAAACAAGGTCATTTACCTTTCCACCGTACACATGTTGTCTATCTACGTGAAAGACGGTTCTTCTTATGTTGTAATACCTATGTACGTACATATCTCCATGATGCTTGCGTTCTTTGCACTCTCTGGTGCACAAGTTGTTACTACACATAAATGCATGTCTACTGGGTTGACCTAAATAAATCAATATTATAAGACGCCTCGCCGCTGATGAAATTCCTGACGGCTAATCGCGTCAGAAGGTAGACAAATTGCGAGTGCTGGGACACAGGGTTTGTGTGACCAGGTGCAGTCAGCCAATCCGTTTCATTCCAACCTTACTAGGTGACAGGAAGACACGATTACACACACACAGGTCTCAGCTTCCTGCAGGGTATGCGTGTGTATACTAATGTCCTTTGAACCAGCGAGCAATGGATATACAGTCACTCTATGTATTATACACCTATCTTCCGGTAATATTACACCCATGGATACTCTGTGAAGTTTACTGGTACCACCTTAGTCACACTGCCACTTTAAAACTGAAACCTAACTTCTACATGCATTATACATACCAGGGACTTTCTTAGTAATCAATTATTCACACCCAATTGACCTTTCCCCCCTCCCCCATAGAGGGCAACATCCTGCAAATGGTGGACACTTACATGTACAACCCCACCAAACACACAACACACTTACCCCAAGCACTTAGTTCACCCTCACTTGTCCTTTTAACCCACAACAAGTACAAGCTACAGGAGATGTATAACTACCCACACACAGTTGATTGGGATTCCAGGACATGAAGAGGAAGAGATGACATAACAGAGGAATATCCACAGTTCCTGGAACCAAGTGCCTAACTACCTTCACTGGTGTGTCTCTGTACTGGTGATATACACTAGTTTTCCACAGTAGGGGACATTATAACAGTGGCCCTCCAATTATTATTGGTGTGTCTAGAGCAGATCTTTAGGCTACTTGAGACATAATTCTGGCTACCTAAGCTAATCCTTAGGTACTGCAGGTCATGGCAACCATAATTGGTGCAGCCAACCCCTCACAGTGCCCAGGAGCCTAACCTAGGATTGTGTAGCCAGGACTGATTACTTGTGTGAAATGATGGGACATATGAGAAAACAGTACCGCCCCTGAAGAAATTAATACAAATTGCTTTGAGACTTGTTTGGGGTCCTATAGGGCTCAACATGCAGCTCAGACCACAACTGAGCCGTTGTACAAAAGGTGCTTGGAGCTAGAGTGTGGATACCACATTGGGAGGGGCATCCTAACACACAGAGACAATTGGGGTACATAATGCCTGTAAAGGCAGGCAGAAATGGTGCACAGTGTCACAAAGGTCCCTCAGTATAGCAGTGGGTGTGGATGATGGGTATTTCATGTGGCTTGTGCAACACCACACACACACACACACACACACCCAGAGCTATAGTGCCCAGTTGCACATTGTGGCTAACAAGTGAGAAAGAGAGCAGACAAGAATGACAGAGAGAAAGAGAGAGAGAGAGGGAGAAGAGAGGGAGAAGAGAGGGTGCATAATTGAAAAAACACTGCCCAGTTATTAGTCATTTTACTCAGAAACCAGTCTGCACTGGTTATAGTATGTACACAGTGCAGAAGGCTTGCACTACTCCCAGGGCCCAGGATAGGGGGTGTAACACCGCCCAACATCTTGTCGCCAGTTTACACAGCGCAGCAGTGCATGCCTCGAGCCCTGTACACTATCTGTGTATACACTGGTCTGATAGATGCCAGTTTGTCAAAGACAACAATGAATACCGACCACCAGAGGACCCCAGACGCCAGACTGCCCCGAATCTCCATGCACGTAAAACACATGTAGCCGCAGCACGTTTGCATGTACATTGTACATGTATCCATGTACATCCTTACATATAATGTGTACAGTGGTATATCAGCAGGAGATTAGCCCAGACAGACATCTCGGCTATGCACGCCACAGGAACTACTATATAGCTCAATCAACCCAAACTATTACCAGTTTCACACGGTCTTCAACCAATCAACCGATCGTGTAGCGTTGTTGTGTATGCTTGCTACAGACGTAAACACTAGTTTGCTGCCTAGTCTGCTGCGCTGGCTCGTGCTCAAAGCAACATCAAAGCAGAGAAAAGACGTGGGTCTTCGCGGCAAATTAGTGCCCCCCAAGGAGGAAAAACGGGACATCAGCTGCATGTGTACACATAGCATTTCCAAAGATGGACGGGTATACACACTGAATTGACTAATATTTTGTTAGGGACAAAAAGAGGGCGGAAAAGCCGTCCCAGGCCAATAGAACTGCAGTTAATTCGTTTAGAGGCGAGACGAGAGGAGCTACCCCCTGCTAAGACTGTCATTGACAAAGCGTTGCGACATAGCTTTGTAAGTTGGGCAGGTGTTGTGTCCGCAGGAGGTAGGCATCCGGGAGCTATAAAACCCAGGAATGCAGCTCTATGTACATTTGTACGCAATTCAGCCTTCTCCTTGCCAATTCCTCTGCCCTGAACGCATTCAAACAAAATAGCAGGCACTAATTCCCAATTAATGGGCAATTAATAACAGGAGGAGAGAACAAAGGGGTGTATGCGTTTGTCAGTGCACTCACAGACGAGGCTTGTATACACCTCAATTCAGACTCTGATTGGGCTGTTTCGAAATGCAATTACGCCTTGGTAGAAATGTGCACTGGGGAATGAAATTTCCACTGTGTGGGCACGGGCCAACCTGGATTATTACAGCGGTTCACTGTACTGGTCGAGACGCATTGTTTGGTCTGAGGTAGTTAGTTCTGCGGAATTCCAAGGCGGGCCACACCCTAGCTCTCGCTGCGCACCCGGGTGCCCGCTACCGGCTCCCTCCACATTCCAACAGGTGGCCCGATGGCAGTGCGGGTATGTCACCCGCCCGCCGCGTCGATATCTTTCCTTCCCATCTCCGATATCTCCCTGATATATTGGTACATCATACCACCACACCTTTTTGCACATGAACAGCCTGTCAAAACAAGCTCTGGATTCGACGTTTAATAATACGGTTACGGTATCTTATTTCTTTTGTAAATTACAAGTCACACAAACGAAAAAAGAAGTTGAGTGTTGTGTCGACGTACGTACGTGTGAATTATGCTTGCGTTTCAGCGTGTAGCCAAAAACTGTCAAAGGTTTGTTTTGTAGTATCAGCTGAATTCACACTTGTAAGTCAAATTTGTTCAACGGTACATACATATGTACATGCACATCCAACAGCAGCATAAGAACGTCTAATCTACAATTGGCTCCTCCTGTGTCTCACACGCCAATTAGCAATGAGTAACACCCCACAGTGCATCGACCATTATATTCATGTGTAAAATTTGTAGCCTTTGAAGTTGCGAAGCTCATTCACTGGTGAATAATTAAACTATTTCCCTTGCATGCGTGGCATATGGAGCCTATGTCCACTCAATTAAGGCATTCTTACTTCCAATGGAGGTAGCTAGGTATTATGTACAGACAGGGTGCAACTAAGGGTGTTATGTTAATGCCTGTCTAGACACCCCTACTTACATATATACGTATAAAGAGTGGCTTATTGGACTACCATAGTGTAACAGATAGGTGGGGGGTCAGGTCATGTCATGGAAGGCATGTATAGCTGACATACGTAATTTTCCACGAAGCACCAGTGAAATTTGTTAACCTGGCGAGACGACTCGTTACGAAACTAGGCAACTAGACAAAACAATAGTAGTCGCCCCCCACTAGGGTTCCTCAAACCTGTTACTAAGATGCCACACACACACACAGGCATAATAGCTATGTATTTGTGTTTCGTTGTGTGCTCAGTGTGAATGATGCACGCATGCCTACGAATTACGGGATGTACACATAATACAAACCCCGGGGCCTAGGAGTGACGTGCGTACACACACATACACAATCAATGCTGTTTCAAGCTCACGCTTTCTTGCCGTGTATGCTCCTTGCTCCAGGGTACCGACGCATGTACACAGACGAGGCAACAAGGTGTGCACGCAAGTTTGTGAATGCGTGGAACAGTGGCGGACACAGGGCGAGATTAGCACTCTTGCTTGGCTATCACAGGATGGCACCGTGCCCTACAGCCAAATCCCCTAACGTAACCACCAGCACCTTGTAAGGCCAACACTGCCAGCCTAACAATCAGGTGAAAATTCGTGTCAATAAAAACCAACAAATTTCGTTTGAACATAGATACGTCCGATCTTACTCTTCTCATGTGACGGCAGTTTTTTAAAGATCCAGTCGCTGTTTTTTGTACACACACTCGTAGCTCAAGTGTGGCTGTGCGCGAGTGATAATTTCTGTTACAATGGCAGATAAATGTGTGTTGGGCTCCAGCGGTTTCAGACTTGTGAGAAACAATTAGTATCGGGCCCTCCCTGAAGCACATGCACTGCAACTGTCTGTGTAACAAGGTAGCATTAGGGGCCTGGTAGCAGTCAGCAACTGAAAGTGATACAAAGGACGTCACCTCTGTACTCTGCACTATCCAGTTTATCAAAGGCAAAAAAAACTACATATCTGTTGCATTTCGGGTGTAAGTCTTATGTACGGTATCATTGTAGCAGGGATAAACATGTTGCTCTTGAGGTAGATCCACCCCATGTTTACATTGCTTCAACACGTAGGTCAACCAGCAGCTAAACTGCACACAACTCTTTAGCAGGAGACCATGTTAGTTATGGAAGGCTACGAAAAGCACACTGCGGGGCGGGCCGGGATCTGGGGGCTATATAGCATAGCAGCTGTTTCTCTACTACCGTCGCGGACGGAGGGGACACCCGGATGTGTACGCTGAAACGCACCGCCTATTGCTAACAACAGCCTCTCCCTCTCTTCAACATAGAGCGAGCTGCGCTGCAGTGCCATTGAATCTTCCCGAAAGCGCGAAACCTACCCGCACGACAACAGAGGAGAGAAAATGCATCAATAGTACACGCACACCCACCGCGTCCGTCTCCTGACCGGTTCTTCGTCCACTTTCCCTTCGTCCGGTGATCGCACGACAGAGAGACGACGTTTTCACTCACTCACACACCGAGGCGAAAAGAGTTGTGCTCGCTAGCTGTCGGTCCTCTCAGGAAACCGAGACTTTTCTTCGATCGCCATGCAATTGATGTGGGGGGTCGGGCTTCGCGTAATCGTAGCTCCGGGAACGCTAGTATACGGACTACAACGCTTTTCCGTTCATGAAGCTTACTGCGCATGTGCAAACCTATTCCGCCGTATTATACGCTGTCTGTGCGCACGCGCAGTCGACCAGCGACGCAAGCCCCTCCCACTCCCCTGAGAGCAGACCAGCTCGGATCAGCTTGCTTGTTTGTGTGTGCGTGTCTCAAGAGAGAGCTTCTTTAGCTCATGTTACAACCGCTGGTGGCGCTGTATATAATTCGAATTTCTTCGCCCTGTTTTACGGTTGAGGGAGTCGTAAAAAGAGTTCTTTTACATCGTCGGTGGAGGCTCTAGAAGGTGCACAGTCACAAGCAGGAAATCCGCGTCGCCCTCGTCTTTACTGGTGCTGGTGCAGAGAGGAAAATAATATGCCGTCGTCCGCGGCCCTCCGGTCAGTGTTCGCCTTGCTGTCTCTACTTATTCCGGGCCTACGCTCCCAGTCCGACTGCTTTCCGGCCGACTCTTCCTTCGCCCGCGCCGTGTGTGTTTGCAAGGGTGTTTCGGGGATCCAGTGCTTGTACCGACGCGGGCTGCCGCGGCTCACCGAGTTTCCCGTCCTCAATACTACCTACCCATTGATCACCTCTATGTAAGTGACACTGAGGAGTATTATTTACCCCACATGTGGTGCTCTTTGCCTGTTCACCAGCAGTGAAAGCCAGATCCGCGTTGTTTTTGTGTGCTTACTCCAGTTGTTGGTTTCTAATCCCAGTGTTCTTTCAGTGAGCAAAAGCCAGAGTAGTGTTTTTTTTGCCATGGGATGGATGTAGGCAACCAAAACTGAAAAGAAAAACATTCCAAGTTTCCTCTGACCTAAACAAGCTGGCGCGCAAACAAGCGTTATCGGTCCTCTGACCCAAAACTCCCAGTCACGAAGGGCTCAAAATGAAATTTGTCCGGTTTTTTGCTGTGACTAGCTGTGAATTGTTTTAGTGTGTGTGGGGGGGGGTAGTTAGGTCATGCTGTTTGTTCTCTCAGAATGCATACTGTGGCTATATACACTACTAGCAAGGAATTTGTGTTAACTGGCCCTAGTGTGACTATAGATTATTTACCAAAATGCCGTCAATCAGGTGGAGAAATAAGAGTAAATTCAGGGCTCCCTATAGCTCAGATATAATTGTATTTATGCAGCATCTTAGTCACATAAATTGTAATAGCATAGCCACTGAACATTACAAGAGATTAGTAAAGTCGTGCACATTTACACTCATTGGTTTTACCACTAGATAGTATAGCAAAGAGGGAGTGGTCAAAGACCTTATGTATCTCCTTTGCCCACCCACAAAAAGCCCCAGAGAGTAATCAAGGCCGTAGTTATACTCTATTCCACGTGGTGTGGTCTACTATAAATTGACCTCCCTGAACAGCCAACGTCCAAAAATGCTATCAATTTTCACGGTCCATATGGCACTGCAACTGGAGAGCTGCAGTGAAACTGGGCCTCAGTGAATGTCCCTCCCCTTCTCGGGAGTAAATCAAACTACATATGTCCCATTTGCCGTCTCAAGTTCCAAGACACCTGTGTTTCTCCACGCACGGGCTAAGATAACGCGTGAGAGTGTTTTCAATTCTCAGTTGGGTTTAGTTTTTCCATGTTTGCGTATGTGGGTGGCCGACCCCTTTAACCACTCAACGACGCTTGTCAGCTATCACGTAGCGTTTGCGAGAGTCTTGAGAAACAGGATGGGGTTTTAATGTGCACCAGTGTTGCATGCTCGGAAGCCTCCTATTCTGATACAAGGGTATATACTAGTGTTCACAATACTCATTTATGATCTCAACCGATAATGCATGTATCATATGGCACACAAAAATGGCGTGAATAACCGTATTGTTGGTAGCAAGTTCGTACCCTGAGGTTCAGATCACCTTTACATACGTACAATAACAATTTCACACACTTTTGCACAAGAATGCTTGTTAGCATAATATTATGTTGGTTGCACAGCCATTCGAAAACCATGGCAAGCCTCTGTTGGTTTCTGCAGTTGCCACCTTTCTTTACCACACATAGTCAAGGAAGCCTTTTGCATGTATTCTGTTATCCCTATAAAACCACAGAACAGGGCTCCCGTGTGCTGCGTATAATAATACCAAAGGAGCTGTGGTGTTTTTAGTGATGCTAATGTACCATGTGTCCCCATACACATTGGGTCCCCAGAGTTATAGTGGATTTGTTACGTGCTGGCCACCTGCCGCAGCATTCTCATCACACACATCACGAGTCCCATTGGGGACACCCGAGAAAGTGGTTTACGGCCGCCTCTTTTTAAGTGCATGTGTGTTTGTTTGTCGCTATTATAACAGTTGGTCGAGTAGCTGACTCTCTCTCCCACCCCCACACAAACACGTATCACATTCATACTGCCACTTTGACCACAGGCATGCAGTGTGCAGTCACTTCTCTAAATATTATTATGTTGCAGTGCCCGTACTACAGGGCTCGTGCTGTCCTGTCTGGGTACTGCAACAGATTTGTTGGATATGAATCCTGCTTGCACATGTAGGATTGTATAGGCTGATAAAATCCCCCAGTACCTAGCTTCATACATGCCGGTTGCCTAGGGATATCCAACAACGTGCAATACATACACACAGATGGACTTCATTTTTTCCTCCCAAGACCACAGGAATTTCAATCGGTGCGACATTTGTTGGTCTTACCGAGCAGCTTCAGATCTTTTGGGAATATACTGTTTTGTCTGTCCTGCAACACATCCGCATGCCTACATACTATATATATATACGAACACCTACATGTTCAGTAAATGCCTGTGGTGGGGTCACGACCTAGTTGAGATTACATGTACAATGGGTGATTATTCTAAGTTCTAAGATAGTAAACAAGCCTAAGCTTTCACACTTTGAATATGCCATCAACATGCAGATCCATGGCTGAATAGTATTATGTGCATCAATATAGTTAGTTACTCTGTTCGAGGGAACTACGGGATCAAGTATTATACCTTGTGTGGACCAATCAGATTGCTCGATTTAAACCAGCTATGCACTAAATATAATTATCTAGTTTTTCAATTCCCTTTGGAGTGCCACTTGAGAATAAGAGGAGTCTGCCTCGTTACTTATCCATTAGCTTTGCATGCCTGGCTTGGTAGTCAAGAGTAATAATTATGAGTTTTCTAACATAATAATACATCAGACTTCTCTCTGTATTGTTTCATGATCACTTCACTCGCCTTCTGTATAACATTCACTTCTATAATATTATATAACAACTGTGTGTGTCTATCAACTGCAGTCAATTACAGGACCAGCAGGTGACAGAGCTGAACAGTTCCCACCTGGGAGTTTATCCAAACCTCACAACTCTGTAAGATGACTGGGCAGTATATTGATTTAGTGTGTTAGTTTTATGCTGAACCCTGTTCGTTGTAGGATATACAATGGTGGAGCACTCAGCAAGATCTCTAATGACGCTTTCAAGAACAACAGAAAGTTAGATGGCATGTAAGTGTTGGGCATGCACAATCATCAACGGAGATAGTTTAATATTATGGTGTCTGCATTGATTTGTGTTTTTTTTTACCTAGATCTTTTACAGACAACCGCCTGACAGCATTTCCACCAGTCACAAACCTACCGTTACTTAGGGACTTGTAAGTGTTTAAATACAACATGCTAACTGAATTGCCTATATGCAAACACTCCTAGTACTTGATCACATGGCATTCACTTGTGACTATAATCACAACGGCAGTTAAAGGAATGTGTCAGTACAAGGGCTGAATTTAGAAAATGTTGTAGGATCCAGTGAAATAATTTCCTAAAGGTTTCTATAATATTTAGCCGAAAATTGTTCTGCAACATTCCCTTTAATTTTGGGAGTTGTATAGTTTAGCACATAATGAAGCACAATATTAGTACTCTGTATATAATATAATTATACTGCAATGCTGCTCCCATTACAGGCAACTAGGAGGAAATAGCATCCAGTCCATCAATCCCGGAGTACTTGATGGATGCACTTCCCTTGAACACTTGTGAGTCGATGATCACAGCTTGTGATTGGTTCGGTCTATTAATAATGTAGGCCCTAATTCACGCTGTGTTTGTTTGTGTGACACTCTAAGAGTCATCGCAAGGTGTTGTGCACAAGGCTCCATTTCTACTCCTCCTCATTTTCGATATGAAGCTCTGTTGTTGTAGTAGTTGGACAGCTCTGACCTGGAGTGTCAATGTGTACAGGAACACCGTCTTATATAGCAAAAGTTAATAACACTGCCTGCTATATTATACTGCAGGAACGCTGAAGGAAATGATATCGAGGTGCTAAGGAGTGGTGTACTGAGTGATCAAAGCAGACTACACACCCTGTAAGTGCATGTGTAACGTCCATGCGATCGTTATAAACACTGGAGGTGCTCCTCCTCAGTAAGATGAGTGGTCGGCACCCCCCTTAGGCTCCACCATCTCCACCCGAATTATCTGTAGATTTTGTTCTTTTTCTCCAGGAATCTCAACAATAATAAGCGGCTGTCTACTATTGACTCCGATGCATTTGCAAATACTGCCATTCAGAGTCTGTAAGTATATACACTTAGCCTAGAATAGAAGTAAACGATGCAGTGGGGACCTCACCCTGATCCATGGCCGTGTTCGCACAGGCTTTCATCCCTCAGCAATGTGAAGTCTGATTTCTTGGTTGTGCTGAATCAGCATGCGGACATAATTTTAAAAACCCTTGGTTTCGAGGCATGGCGGGGTAAACAGATCGGTGAGACGACACTCCACGACCCCAGGGTACTGGAGTCAAACTGCAGTGCACGGCATGATAGTCTTGTGTTTGCTCCCATTCAATGCATCGTCACATGAATCCATATGGACACCTACTTTCATTCTTAGATCCTGCAATCTGATTGGCTTACCCATTTTCCAGACATGCTGACTCGGCACAAAAAGATACCTTACCATATGTACATATATATAAAACACCAGGCCTCATCACGGCTGTATTCAGTCGTCACTTTGCAAAGTTTGGTCAAAAGTGTTTGTTTAAAACCGAGGCTCCCACTGTAGTAAATATCATTGGAAGGGGTGCATCAATATTGATTGCTGTCCTAAGTGGATGTATTTAACTTATTTTTCCAACTCCAGTTCTTTAGCAAATACTGCTATCAGCAACCTCCCGTCAAGCGGATTGAGAGCGAGCCTAGATTATCTGGATCTCTCAGATACCCGAAACCTGAAGCGGTTCAACGCATACGAGCCTGGAGTGGAGTTCTTCAACCGGACGTACCCCTTTCTCAGAGAGGCGAAATTTTTCTATCACGCTCACTGCTGTCAGCTGCAGGATCATCACACCTTCTTACGACTCGACACCGGCGAAGAATCGGAACCAGAAACGGAGCCGGTCGAGAGCACACCAGTTGTCCCGACGGAACACCTTCCCGGTTTCGTCTGTGTCAACACGACAAATGGGACCACTGTCCTTGACAAGTCAAGCGTTTCCACCCACCAAAACGTTTCGGTGGACGAGTTCTGCTCGTCTGAATTCTGCATGGAAGAGATCTGTGGAGAGAGGTGTTCTCGTTATGAAGAGCTACTCGGCAGCGATATCTCACTGAGTGGTGGCGGAATCTCGGATATTTACTGCCTCCCGATAGCTCCCACCTCGTGCCTGGACAAGTTCTTCGCCTCCAACAGCTTTACCTCACAAGTGACTTACAATACGTGTGCTACGGAAGCACCAACGGATGAGGTACCTTCTACTGTCCCCACCACCGAACCACCTTCCTGTGAATATTTCGAAGAGTGGTGTGATTATTATTATCCAGACAGAGCGGGGCATTGCAAAACGTGTGCGCACAACTGTATTGAGACGATATGCGCCCCCTACGATGGGCTCTTTTTATGTCAGTGCACGAGAAAGAAAAGGTCGGTGGGGGAGATGAGCGTCTCGGACGGGCATGTCCGCAGTCTGAGGTCAGTTCAAGCGGATCCCACAAACGGCACGGCCAACAACGACTCATTTCAGCTGCGAGTGATTAACGTCGAGTGTAGGAAGAGGTTAAACGAAACTGTGAGCGTGGGTTTGCCTACACCGACTCCTGTTTTTACTCCAGCACCGGGTGCTCCGATCTCGGGTGAGTGCGAATACCGAATCCTGGAGGACATTGGCACATTACTCCTCCCTGAAGGGTGGTTTTATCTCGAATCAGACTCCCGCGACGTCATCTGCAAGGAAGTTATTGTACCTGCACCCACGCCCTCACCCTCTTCCTCGCCCACTCCACAACCACCACCCACTGCAGCTATGTACATCCAAGATATAGTGACTATGTGCTCGCCTGTTCCGGATGATTTTAACCCCTGCGAGGACCTTCTCGGCGACAGCGATATCCTGCGTGCTGCAATCTGGTTTGTGATCATTTTTGCCATCGTTGGAAATGGTGCGGTCCTCTTTGTGTTCTTTACCTACGCAATTGTCATCCGCCGGACGAAGGTGAAGTTCTTCCCGATGCATTTTCTCTATGCAAACCTCGCCGGAGCCGATTTCCTGATGAGTATCTATCTATTGACGCTGGCGTCAGTTGATATAGACACAAAGGGACACTTTAGTCGGGAGGACATTGACTGGCGCACGGGGCCAGGGTGTGGGTTTGCAGGATTCTGTGCCATTACTTCCACGGTCGTCTCCGTCTACACACTAGTAGTCATCACGACAGAGAGAATTTATACAATTACCTTTGTCATGCACCAGAAGAAAATCACCAAAATGTTTGTTCTGGTGGTCATGATTATAGGGTGGTCTCTAGGAATTTTAATGGGTGCCTTGCCACTTGGAGGGGAAGTAAATTCTTACGAACTGGTGGCCGTGTGCTTACCGTTTGATACGTCAAGTTCTTCAGCTCTTGCGTACATTGCGATCATCCTGTTAACAACGGGGCTGGCTTTTGTGTACATTGCAATCTGCTACACTGTAATCTTCTACCAGATAATCCTCAGCCCAACGAAACGCAAACTCATTCGATCCGGCGGTCGACAAAAGCAATGGAAGGGGGACCTGAGGATGTCGATAAGGATGTTTGTTCTTGTCTTGACCAACTTTCTTTGCTGGTTCCCCATTGCACTAGTGAGTCTGACAGCAGCCTTTGGTGTGCCTCTCCAAGGAATCAATGTTGCAACAGCAAAGATTTTCGTGGTGTTTGTCTTCCCCTTAAACGCCTGTGTCAATCCATTCCTTTATACGCTATCAACAAGAGCATTCAAACACAATTTCGTTTCTCTTATAAGTCGCTGTGGCTTGCTTCGAAAGTCAAAATACGCATCGACCTACTCGAGGCAGTTTGGACTACCGTCCTCTATCTCCAAACGGACTACTGACACAGACGTCTCACGGAGGAGCTCCGTAATATCCCAGCTGATATCTCTCAACTTTACCATGTTCACAAACCGCAGAACTAGCCTCGAAACCGTAAGCGAAAACGGCTCGCACACTAACTTGCGGAGACCGAGTCAGGCCAGCATGACTTCCAGTGATGAAAAATTCCTGAGGACGCACACCGTCTTAAATCTGCGCCGCAGCAGTGGCGTCAGTCAAAGTTCTACAGAAGACATTTCCTTACAGGAACCACTACCAGATACTCCCTCCTCCTCCTCTTCCTCTGTCAAGGACAAGCCCACGAGAACCACCCAGCTAAACAGTGCGTCAAGTCTAGGGGTCTTACATGAAGTCGACGAAGTTGCAGACGTGTCGAGCAAAAACGCTTTAGTTCAGAAAAATCCAGGCTATCTGGAACAGAAATCGGAAGAAACTTTTGACTCGTGTACAGACACATGCATTCACGAGAGTGACCATTTAACATGCAATGGAACAGACGATGTTGTTAGCTAGAACACTGCAGAGCCCACAACACCAGCGGTTAATGTTCTTCAGACTGACAGAGAGAGTGCATGAGCACACAGTCCAGTTTATGATGCTGTTCACTCACCCAACCCACACTCTCTCTCCTCTTTTGTATTTTCAAATTTTCATCAATTTTTATTTCCATTGGTATATTTCACAACTTGCCATATAATAGCTGATGGTCAAATGTGTTTCCTGAAACGACTGCGTTCGAGATGATAGGCGAGCGGGAGCGAGCCTACCTTCGTTCGAGCGGATTTTATACGACCGACCGTCGTACGTCGTGTAAGTGCGCATGCGCGGCTTTGTACGCGCTTCTTTTTATCCGAAATTATTTCCAAATTTTTACACATTTTCACACACACAGGCTAGGCTAACACACACACGCCGCGTTGTCGAGCAGCCTGGTATCGATCGCTGCCTAGCCTACTGCCATGCCAGCTGCCTGGTGGACCACGACAGACGAGCTGAAAGCGTAAGGTAAGGACCGTTCTGCTCACCTGCTCACCGTTCTGGCAATATACAGTACGCATGTAACGCCGGGCGACAGGTAGCTCTGTCTTGCTTCACGAAAGGAATGATGTGCGCTTACGGCACGTTATGCAGCCCGAACATCGCGGACAAATCCCAAGTTGGGTCGCTCCCGCTCGCCAACAATGTTCCACACAACTAATCGCTAGATCGGATCCGCTTGTTCTGCGAACCTTGGAGACACAAAGAAGCACAATGAAGGGCGCGTATCGTCTCACGGTACTGGTGTTGCTAGCCTGTGTCAGACTACTCTCAAGGCGCCTACTTCTAGTCTAGTGCGAGTATAAAACACACTATAGCCCAACCCATCAATTAGGGTGACGCGCATGCGCAGTGCACCGAGGGCGCTAATCTTCGTGTGGCCGCCGGCTTTCGCTCGCGAATGAACAGAAAAAATATGGATAAACGACAAACATACTTTTAGAAATTTGGGCAAGTTTTTCCATTTATAGGATGGGTCGTTGTTGTCAGTTCGCAACTGCAGCTTGTAGTATCTTTCACTGTAATTGTCCACGCCCCCGCCGCCAACGTCACAGCAGTATTGCAGTTGTTCCAGTTGCTATCGCACTCTTTGCAATTCTTTGGGACTTTCGCAGTAGTGGTGGTCGCACCCGGGGCGCACTTGTGGTAATTATATGTACAGTCATTTTCAGGATTCGTACCATCCTGCAGGCGAACGTTGTGGTGATAGGTTTGAGCGCAGCCGCCCACACAGCCTTTGACCTCAATAGTACATTCGACATTTCTCCCATCATCTAGGGCTTTGTACACGTAATACGAGAAGGTATACGTTGAGCAGCCGTTCACGCCCTCGGTTACTAGCAAGAGGAGATAAAGGCAAGTGACTGCAGTCGAAAAGTACACCCTAGTAAACTGCATCTTCGTCTTTCGTCAGTTTGATAGCTACAATTACAGATATCTACACGGAAACGGGCCAGGTTTATATAGTCTCGCACTGCCGCTGCCGTCACGTCACGAGCGCTCCGCGCGCGCTATAAATAGTCGCGTACATAACGTACCGGTATATACCGGAAAAATTTGTGCAGCATGGTCTTCAGAAGCGCTCCTCCCTCGGCCTCGGCTCTCTTCCTATTTCTCTGGAGTTTTGCGACGGTTTGCACCTTCGTGGTGTGCACGGTGACGACGAACGCCGTGAGCATGCACGGCGGGAAATGTATTCTCAGGACGGAAACACCGGTTAGAACCACCGTGGTTTACACCCACAATGGCGTGCAGTACACAGCCACTCCAGAATTCAATGAGATACGAGGCTACAGCTGCGAGCAAGGAACGACGGCAAAATGCGAAAGTTCCTTCCACTTTTCTTTGGATAATATCATTTATTATCCTAACGGTCCAACAGAAGATTTAAAACTGCATAGAGTCAAACTGTGCCAGCCATATATCACAAACAATGTGACCAGAAACTACATCGTATATCACGACAACAGTCCACTGACTTTGACTATGACATGGTCTAATATCACTAGCTGCAAGTGCAAAGGAGCATGGGCAGAATACTAAGGATCTCGGCAGTCGAACCTCATCACCCAACTTTTTTTTTGTTATAAACAACCAGAATAAAGTACTCTTCATATTTTATATTATTTCAGATGTTTTTAAAAATTTATGGTCTGTCTTTCAATTCTTAATGACGTTGAAACAAAACTCTAAGCTATATAGGTAACACTGAAGTAGCAAGTACAACACATAATTATGCGGGCAAAACAGAGGTGCGTGACTGCAGGATATCAGTCCTGTCTCTTAGTGAAATTCTCAGGAAATATGCCTTTGTCGCCGTTACTCTTTAGAACTCCCATACACCAGCCTTCTTCCTGCATGCCATTAATAAAACAGCCCGATTTATACATATCTAGCCCACTGGTCTATATAGCTACGCAGATATTATTGTTTAAGCCATTTGGTTTATGCTTTTGCTGTTTGACGATGGACCGTCGCACGATTTTGCTGAAACTGAGTCTCCTACTAACAAATTTGATACTCTATACTTGCCTCATCATCTGGGTCTTCGTAAGGCACCACAAAAATGATGGCTCCCTTCTCGAATGTTAGTTCGTCTTCATCTTCACCCTGGTAGAGATGAGTAGCAACAACCTGCAAGCAGCAATGTCGAAGAGTGTGTCGTCAGTGAGAGAAATAGCCACTGCCACTACAAGTGTGCAATTTTATACACACCAATGTTTTCGCTGCACTGCATACCGCAGCACTGAAGAGCTAGAAAACAACCCAGTGCATGTCTCACATTAGACCAAATTCAACTGGGAAAAAAATATTGCCGGAGACCATGCAGTACACTAATATGATTATTGACACAATAGTGGCTCAAGTTAATGCACACAAAGATTTCCACCACTCACTGTGTAGAAAATATTCTCGGGTGGTTCGGCCTCTTTTTCAACCGTACCGTTCTCATCTCCTGGAAAACAACATGTGTCACTGAACACTCACAACCACACTACACTTCCAGTCGTGGGAATCTTTAGAAGGGGGAGCGCGTTTTTGCAAACAAACACGGTGTCCACCGACAATTTATTTGAGAGGAAACTTCCTTTTACCTTGTAAGTTTCGCACAATATTATGGTAGCAATTCCATAGAGAGCAGTGGAGTGTGGCTCAAGCTATTAGCTATAATAATACCTGTTTCTGCAGGAGTAGTGGGGTTGTCTGAAGGAGGGGGCATTTCAAGTGGGGCTGGTTTCGGTGGCGGAGTTTTGAGCGGACTTGCCACACCCTGTTCCCGGTCCACATCTGCCAACACTTCATTAGCTGTAGGCTATAAGGAACGGCAAACAGAACCAATGCTCAACCACACGAGCTAAACCAATATAGTTCCACGAGCTAAACAAAGGCAAATACGCCACCCCACCCACTGCATGTCGATTCTAGATTTCTTGTTCATGCTGCTCAGCCGTCCAGCTTACGGGTTCAGCTGTGTCTTGATCTTTCTGGTCTTCTTGTTCTTTCTGGTCTTCTTGTTCATCCTCTGGCACTTCTTCTTCTCCTTTTCCTTCTGCAAACGTCTCAGAGTTCTCAGGAGACCTACCACAACAAATTGAACACAGAGCTATCCGTGCTAGCAGAACTTCACGCTCATTTCATGGCTACGACCGTTTGAAAATGAAGCACTATTTGATTCTCTACGATAAAAATCAAACTCGCAGCGCTGAGCTTGTTGTCGTCCCTTTTTGGTCATCTGGTTGAGCATTGTGCCCAAAAAAAAGTTGTAAGAGACGGACAGAAAGGGGGAGAGAGAGAATAAACAAACACATAATCCTCGCAGCTACTGTGCATAAAAAAACACCTGTCGTCGGTGCAAAATTTTCTTGCTAACACGATTCACAAGTCCATCGGCATGCGAAGTGACACCTGCTTCAAACGTTATTCACAATTACATAATCAGAGACCCACGCCCACCCTCAGTCACGTTGACACACACACACACACACACTCAGCAATTATCTCAGCTATAAACAGGTGAATATCTGAATCCAGAGACAAATGCACACGACATGAATGTTTGCCTGCTAGGACATGCACAGAGCAGCCTTTGTGCACAAAAGGGTGGTAGAGAGACTGCTACATCGGTAACAGAACACTTAATTTGCAGATAGAAAAACAACATTTGCGGATAGAAGAACATATCATTTGTGGATAGAAACAAGCAAAAGAAGTAACATTGTCATCCCAGACACACATACCGGAATGGTGGTGGCTTTTGCGGCTGTAAATATAGAGGAAAAGAATTATAGAGACACTGAGAATGTACCTTTAAGAAACGGAAATTGGATTTAGTTTTTTTACCTAACAGTAAACACGGCGTGTAAGCATTTATATTAATTGACGTGTGAGCGCACAAGTACTATTGATCTAGACTATACCAGTCTGTATTCATTACTTGTTTATTTATTTTTGAGCACTACCACGTAAAGATCAGATTCAGAGATGGACACCTCGAGTGATTAGGAAAGTAGGATAACAACATTGGTGCTAGTACTCTCGGGATTAACTACACAAAACGTCCAGGAACTGTGAAAAAGGCAGAATTTTCCGGAGAGTTTGTGTAGAAGTCGAAGGGATATATATTTGGCTTATGAATATAGCTCAGTGCATGGGAGGCCAGGCCAAAACTGCACATTACTGTTTAACACTATTTTAATGAGAAAATGTGAATACTCCTGTATAGCCCAGTGCAGTTTGTTACCCATTGCAGGTATGATAACGAAACGAAACACAACTCTTAAAAAGATGCATCACGGGAGAAATCGAAATTGCATCTAGCTATATACCACTGCAGTCACACGCATATTAACACACGCCCAAACCCCTGTTTGTCTGCCAGCAAAAAGTGCTGTAGCTACCAGGAAAAAAGAAGGCACAGTGGTTAAACAGAGGCCGGGTTCAATGAACTCCACGGTCACATGTGCTGCAACTTGAAACTCCTCTGGTAGAGTTGACCGAGTATGTGACACAAGTCCAACCAATAAGAACAGGAAGAGAGAAGGAAAGTGACAGTTGCAGGTATATATCTACCACCTATGCACAATGTTATCTACTGTTGTAGATCTTCGCTTGCTGAACAAACTTCCTCACTTTGAAGTGCACGGGCGAGGCTTACACCACACAGCACCAAAAATTGAGACACGTTCAACTGTGACACAGTGGGAACCCGGTTTGGGGTCACAGATTTCCCTGTCTATTGCTCTCTTGATTGATGTCCGCATGGCTTCAGGTTAACTTCACTTTTACTCAAGGCATTGACACTTGCAACACAGGTCAAGGACCTTGGGACTGGCAGTATTATTGACTAGTGCTACTTCAAAAGGCACGACAGGATATGGTTCTGAAGCAATGGCTAATTCACCGCCTTATTCATATCGCGGTTAGTTCAACCTAGCGGGCGAAGCGAGCCTGCCTAGTCGTCTGAATTCAGGATTTTTCCTATGACCAAAGGGCACTGCACATACGATATTGTTGTACGTGATTCTGTCATTCTAAATACGCGCGAAAAATGAAATACTAGCTCACCAAAAGTGTATGTGGCACTTGTTCTAGTATATGGTAGTGTTCTAGTATGGTAGTGTTCTTTCAAGCCTACCTGGCATACGAAAGTCAGGTTGAGAAAGGAGACATACGGACAGGGGATCAGATGAAAGGCTATCCAGGCTACCAACTTGTGCTTATAAACTCTTACTATAATATACAACTCGCACAACTAGCAAGAAAAAGTGCACTTATATACAACCCCTACCCAGAGAAATATTTGCGTCATAACACAAAAGCCACTCATATGGATAAATATACCATGGCTTTAGAAGGTATACCGGGAATATACCCGAGGTGCTAATAGCTACAGAGCGTTCAGTACATTGGTCATACTATTCATCCTCTAGTAAGACGGTGGATAGTTTCTATGGCATACATACCTGTCCAGATGGGGGTTCCACAGCTACCTCGGATGATGTAGAGGTGTCTTGATCTGAAAGCAACACACAAATGTTAGTAAGTTATGCATACACATGTCTTAGTGTGGTGGTGCATTTGCGATATCTTCACACACAAATCCCCATAGGAAGCATGATGTGGATTGCTGGAGCGCTTCATCACTTCTATGCTTCAATCAGACACTTTCTTGGAAACATACTCTTTGAAAATGAATCGCTCATGATTATGCGGGGCACAGTTCGACTTGTTCACACAGAGGAGGTGGTAGGAAATACTTTAGGCATTACACTGGCAGGGCAGGAAATTCCGACCAACTGCAACCTTGCTATTCAGAGAAGGAAGGAAGGAGGGGGAAGGAGGTGGAGTTGACAAAGAGTCTGAAATTAAAGAGGTGGTATATAGGAAATACTTTAGGCATTATACATTGACCCACCCTAACCTTGCTATTCAGAGGAGGAAGGAAGGAGGTGGAGATCTTCACAAAAGAACAAACGGCCCAAAAATTACTTCAGACCCCTCTTCCTTAATTCCTACGTACGTACATTCCTACACCATTACCAGGAATGCCCAGATGAAACCACAGCAAATAGCCCCAGCACGGATAATGAATTAAAACGTGCATCAAATTCATCCCCAAGGTGACACAACATTGCGGAAACGGGGACGCATTTTCCGGATAATTCTTCACCATAACTGCCCGTACTACCTGTATTACCAAGTGCATACCGTAGCCAGCTATAAATATAGTATCCCATCACGTCAACTGGACACCACGTAGAGACTCCCCCAAGACAATCACATGAACGTGAATATCGTATCTGCCACTCGACCTCAGTATGGGACTTATCACGCTGCATACTCCACCTATGCTGTCATTTCCCATCAACTTTAATATCTATTTTCTTGCCTTGCCAAGAGGTCAGTCAGACCGCGTATCGCTCGAATGCTGTATGAGAGATCAAAACACAGGGAAAAAAGGCTTGAGACTGCAAAATGCATCCCGTGCATGAGTTATTGTAACAGCGCACCAATTCCACTCATTCTATCAGGGCCACATCACCCGTAAAAACAAGTTATTTTAGCACATGTCATTACTAGAGTGCTATGCGATACAGTTACTTTAGCTGCACAGTTATATACTAGCATACAGAATGGTACTGGCAATGACACGTACACATAATTCGTGTAGACACACGAGATGCATGCAAGAAATCCCCGATTAGCTACTTTCCTTACGAATGAGTTTTTGTAACAGCGCACCAATTCCATGCATTCTATCAGGGTCACATCACTCATTGCTGACAATTATACCTCCACTTATTCGTGTGGACACACGAGATGCATGCAAGAAATCATAGATTAGCTACTTTCCTTGCGAATGAGTTTTTGTAACAGCGCACCAATTCCATGCATTCTATCAGGGTCACATCACTCATTGCTGACAATTATACCTCCACTTATTCGTGGACACACGAGATGCATGCAAGAAATCCCCGATTAGCTACTTTCCTTGCGAATTTCCCCAAACAATCGAACACCTACAGAAACACATCTCGCGTGAACTCACCGCACCTTCCCTCTGAGAGTTTACGTCGAAAACGTACAACGAAACCATATATAAACCAGCTTCCTCTGGGAACACGTTGCACGGCGGGCGTATTGAGTCACGTTATGTTGAGATATGGCTTTATATGCAGCAGCCCTACGTGGGTGTGTTGATATGTACACACACGTGATGGCATCATTCTCCCATTTGTATATAATTATGTCACTACGTGGGCAAACGTGGTTGATCTGTAAACAACGCACAGGTGTCAGCACGTAACATTATATAATGGTGGTGGGCACACAGTGACAGAGTAACTATATACACACAGTCGGAGGCCCTTTGCTTCGTGCATGCTTATGGATGTGACCTCTTCATGGTGAGCATTACCAGCGGCCCACTCTATTTTGAGCAAGCATTACATCATCATTTGAACAAGCTTATGGATGTGACCTCTTCAAGGTGAGCATTATCTAGCGGTCAACTCTAAAGCATTACATCATCATTTGAACGCTCACATGGCCCAGAGGGATTTCTGGCGTATCAGATAACACATTATGGAGGACATGCAACTGGAAAAATTGCCCTATATACATGAAATCATGCAGCACATGACTCCTCTCTGTGAATATAATTATGCTAGTCATGCCAATGATAGAGTGGGGGGGATCCTGTAAGATTATCAGCCAACAATTGCAAGCTCGGTGGCTATATACATTATTCCAGGAACTAAGGTGCCGACCCATGAGAGAAACAGAGGCGAGAGAAGGGGAAGGGCTATATATAATATTCCAGGAACTCTGACCCACAAGAGAGGCAAGAAAAGGGGGACGCACGAATGATCTCACGCATTTCCCCGTCCAAAGCACAACAAACGTGTCAATCTCAGCCAAACTCTTTATCACAGTGTTTGAGATCATACAGAAACAGTCCAATATTCCAAGAAGGCCATTTCCACGACGACCACAAACACAAACACACACACACACAATACCTGTTCATAACTCGAAAGTATAAACATCCTTCATTTTTCCACGGCTTGTAGACATACTGTATATACTTTCTATACATAATGGGGACGTATTCTGCTTACATTAGCCGTAGCATCTTTTCCATGGAATGTTTCACAACAAGTACGTACTGCTGGCTATAAACAGCAAAGGGATTCAACCTATTCGTAATTTCCGTGTTCCTCAGAGTGTTGGCTGGTGGGCCAAGCAAGGCAGTTAGGAAAGAGCCTTCGTGAATTTCCCAATGGCCATGTTTTGTTGCTTACACAAGTGGACTTTGACACTGTCTCAAAGCTTACAATAGTGCCGGCAGATTCTCATTCGCCAAATTCAGACAGACGAAGGAACAAACAACATTCCATTGCACAATAACAACCTACACCCAACAGCAATTTATTTTTTTCCCAAATGTCCCGAGTTCTCAATAACATGGAAAGAGGCCAAGGACGGTTTCTGCTTTTGTCACATGTACCACCGTCCAGCTCCAAATAATAAGGAAACTCGAATTACGACGTATTGAGGTATTGAGTATTGGAGTGTAGCCGTGCATTGCACAAAGACCTACATATTTGGATGGCGTAATAGACACCAGTTGAGGATGCACCAGTCTACACTCAAAAGTCAGTTCCAAAAAGTAGGAAAAAAACAGATGAGCTAATTTTAAACCCCACGAGAATTATGACGTGGGGAGTTCATCTACCACTAATCATAGGGGTACAGTTATGTAGGCGTCCGTCGACAGGTCTTAAATTTCCAATAATTTCACTAATGACGACAGGTGAAAGAGCACTTGTGTTTTGATATGTCAGAGTGGGCGTAGGTTCATGGGCATTAGGTCATCTGCACAGGAACTCCCCACACGCCGCTAGACATAGAACCCACATACTAACCAACGGCTGTATAAATCTAGCCCGTAACACAACGTCTGGAACAAGTTGTCTGTGTTTTAACAACGGTCTCTAATTGGTGCAAGGCCCCCACAAACTGACTTCCTAACGCGCAGACAGTGACACCCACAATCCGTCTGTCCTTTCCACCCTCCTCTTCAAAATGGCCACACAACGCAACACACTATTCATATCAGTAGCTACAACACACGATGAACATTGTGGCATTCCAATTTCTCCGCTAATGCTTAACCTTTGGACGCCGCAGGTATCTCCTTAAGTAAGCAGAAAGTCTAGCGCCAGAGCCTTCATAAGTCCATAAGAAATTTATATGGGGTTATAATACTAGGCGCTAATATATTATACATACATTTCTGCTTATTTAAGGAGATACCCATGGCGTCCAAAGGGTTAATTAAGTATATGCACCCGGTATCCCTGCACCCTACTTATTAGCAATTCGCATCCATTAGACAGACAGATTCACGACAGTATTGCACTAAGGGTGGGCTAATTAATATTTGGTGAGATGCTAATTAAGTTAGTGAGACACTATGTATAGTTGGTGGCGAAATGTTGAGGGGGCGGGGCTAAGACTAATTAAGGGTACAGCGAGCAACGAGAAATTCACGACTAATTAGGTGAGATAGTAGACGTGAGCGATTTCATTGCCTCCTAGCGGCCGTCTGTCGTCGTGGCAACATTGTTGTTATGTGGGAGAAACAACATGGCCCCTACAACGCCTGCACTATTTGGTGGTGGTAACAGCCCCGGTGGCAAAATCGTCTCAATAATAAGCCAACCAGGCACAGCCAAACTATTACTGATTATGGAAAATTAAATTTTAAAGGCAGTGCGAATGTCATGGCCGTCCCCAGTCACTAACTACTGATGCATACATCAGTCTTTACTCAAAAACCCGAAATGTCACCTAAACTACAGTAATAGTGCTCGGATAAGATTAAACCCAATGTGTAAATGTAATGTATGTAACTGGCAGCGTAATATGCAGCACCAGCTAGTAAAAGGTGAAATGATTTTGAAACGGAATGTGCACATCAGGGGAATTCGTCCCACACAAGAGGGAGACGCATGATCGGCCGACCGTGACAACTGTCAACTCACAACAGGAAAACTGGTCACCCACTAAGACAAACAACGAGGTCACAATAATTGCACTTTCCGTTTCACGTTATCATTCTTTTTGTACATGCAGGTTACAAATAATCCCCCCCCTGCTCGGTAACAGGTGTCAAAATTCCCACATAAACGAAGTATTAGAAAGAGCACTCGAGTTGCATAAAAGTTGTAAGTTTCTCGTCTTATTACATCATGTTCGTACGCTTTGCATTTTTTTATTATAACTCGAGAATTATGTTTATAGCCAGTGTTCTTTGCAACACCGGATGTGTAAATGCCTATTAGTTAGTTAGTGTAATTTGATATATATGTAGAGGGAATCGGTATAAAGATGATGAAAGAAAGAGTGATGCTTGCAAGGAATTTCACACCTCACATACCGACCCACTGGGGGGCGTATAAGGATAATATTGCCCCAGGCTACGACGATACGCTACGAATCAAAGGAAGTGACACAACACCGTTGACTCCACGGAGAAATATTCAACAAAGAATGATTGCACCGGGGTGGTGTGAGGGCAGCAATAATGTTGCTAAAGATAGAACAGAACAATATGGGGTCCAGTGCACAATGCAGTTACGTTTACATTTTTAGTAACGGATACTACCACACCTATATATGTAGTTCCTCAGTCAAAAATACGTCTTGGGGAACGTCACAACTAAAGCAGCTGTTACTCATACTGTCTGGATTACACTCCTGAACAAACATGGCACTATCTGAGGTAAGTACTCCAAACAGTGACAATTATAACCATGTATAGTAGCAGATATGAGGGTGAGATGAGTCCTTCTTTTGCCTCTACTAGGTACGTAAAGGTGGAGTATGGATAGAAGAGTGGTTGATGTCATCCAACATTTTACCATTTTTGGTCCATTAATACACACTCGTGGAAACCCTCTCTATACGCAATTCGTAGCAAGTTGGTAGCATCGTGATGGTGGCTTGGAGACATCAAGAACATGAAGACACTTCTCTAGTAAGGACACATGTTTCTTCAACCCCCCAAAGAAGGACACTTTACTTAATACTGACATTTGATTCTGTTGAGAATGTGCAACATTTCCGGCTGTATGTTATGTAATATGCTGCAACTAGCACGACTTCCCCTCCCATCTTTGAACTTCATACTTAATGTACAGGTGGCATCTTTATCTTCCTGCCATCCAAAACAAGACGGCATGCAATACTGGAAATTGAATCAGACAATGTACAATTTTAGCTGTTTATGGCAAAGGATGGAAAGCACCAAAAAGCAAAGCCCTCTGCAAAGCTCTGCGGATCTATAGAGGCGTAAAGCAGGAGCTAATATTGCCCAGAAATTGCAAACGTGACAGAATTCACACATGGTCCCAGCTAGCCACTTGTGCAAGTTTTCTCTCCCTTAGCTGGTGTTTAGCAAACATTGAGCAGAATTGGCGCTCAATAGCATAGTGTGAAGGTTGAAGCCAAAGTAGCGGCAATTTGCTGAAAATGCACTTTCGCTTTTACATGTACATGGTGTAACACAGAGGGTTGTATAGGAGGGGAGTAGGGCAGATTTAGAGTAGCAAAGTTAAGATCAGGGTGGTGGTAGAATGGATAGTGTTTTATGTGTGTTGGTACGACCATGCTTTCTACAGTTTGTGTTTGCCTATATTTACGATGCTACTGTGTCCCTGGCTAGTTTGGCTTCACTTGCCTTACCGATGTATTTTGGTTGGGTTCAGAAGGAGTGGGGGAGAGATGCCGAAGATGCATTCCATTATTCATCTTCCACGCACCACCATTTATCGCTGTTTCTCTATTCCAAGATCGAGCTGGCCACTACTTAACTATCTTCGATTTTAAATTCCTTTCCGAACCTTTTCTAGTTACTCTTGTACGCCCCCTTATCCCTGGGATTTTTTTCTTTATTGATTCACATTATTTATGATTGAGAGACGGAGAACGGGAGGGTTGTGTGGCTTTCAGTTCCTTAAGAATCATCGTCGCGTCTTATGCCACCGGTCGAGACATGAGCTTTGGCAATGGTGGGGTGGGGATGGGGGGGAGGGAGCATGAGGAAGAAGGGAGGCGAGGAGAGTTAGGGAGGGCAGAGTAGGGAGGAGGGAAGGGACGGCGAGAGAGAGGGTAGGGAGGGAGGGAGAGAGTAGGGAGCGGTAGGGATGACGAGTTAGGGAAGAGGAGAGTAGGGAGGTAGGAGAGAGTAGGGAGGGAGGGAGAGAGTAGGGAGGGGAGAAGCGAAGGAGGAGGAGGAGGAAGGGAGAGAGAGTAGGGAGGTAGGGAGAGGAGTAGGGAGGGAGGGAGAGAGTAGGGAGGGAGGGAGAGAAGAGGGAGGGAGAGAGAAAGAGAGGGAGAGAGAAGGAGGGGCGGAAGGCGAGAGAGAAGGAGGGGGAGGAGGAGGAGGAAGGAGAAAAGAAAGACAAGTGACCGGAAGATGAAAAGGGAAAGAGTAGGGCGAGTAGATACTAGGAGAGCAATTAAACAAGGACCAGGAAACGTCCACAGAAAAGAAAGGGGGAAAAAAAATGAGACGGAAAAAAAAAAGCAGGCAGCAGCATATTATGTTAAAAAACAAAGGGAAACCATTAGAAATGGAACTAACCTAAACGGAAATCGACAGGTATTTGCCAAGGGGGAATGTTTACCGCCAATAAATAAAGTGCGATCAGAGCGAAAAGTAGGGCAAGCACGCGTCATTAATTAAACAATTAGAGGGGTTACGTAGGTTTGTTGATAGGCGAATCTGATGTTGATGATGCAATCCTTCGTATTGGAAGGGTTTGTTTCTCTTGTTTTTAGTGAGTGAACTGCCAGTGGAGCCTTCAGATGCCAGCCCATCAGTAGAGCTAGACCGAATACAAAGCTACACCAACAACAACAACAATGGAAAGAGTGGTTCTCATGAATCCGGACACCATACGACAGAAGAAAGTTAAATATAAGCAAGGTGTCCCTTATTTCAGGATACCGTAAAGTGATTCAAAAATGGGTGCGATGGAAAGGAAGGGTTTGTCCTCATGTCTTGAGTGGGTGCACACTGGATGCAATTAAGGGGAACGCAGCAGTGGCAGTATCAAAAGTAGTAGACAAGCGTTACTAAAAACGGAAGCCGATATTTTCTTTGCGTGGATGGTGACCTTAGTGATTTCCGGCGGGGAAACCTGGCTTCTGGTCAGCTTTGCTATGCTCTGAATATCTGAGCATAGAATTGGAGTCGACTGGAAGAGGAGGAGGGAGGTA